ACTTAATAAAAGACTAAAAAGATTTTCCAATTAATCCTCACCATCATCCACTCTTGACTAGCAAAGCCCTTAATTCTCACCCATAATGGGCTATAAACGAAAAATGTTTTAACTTAAATGAAAGTATTTCACTAGACCAAGCAAAGGTATTATAACCTCACAAAAACGTAGATACTTTACTCCCTCTTAGAAATGGATAGATTTGAAAGCTTGAGTATAAAGCTCATATATGAATACAAATATGCACATTTGTGAAAAAATGTAACAATTATTAATAAAAATAATATTAACAATATAATTAGCAACAATATTAAATAAGTAAAATAACATAACAAAACTAAATGAAACCATCAAATTTTTAGCTTCTCATTATTCTAAGATGAGATAAAGAATTAAAATTAAATATTGAAACAATCATAAAATCAAAGTTTATATGACATATGTTTAATTTTTTGCTTGACTCTTTATCGTTTTTAGCAAAGTCGTCAAGCTATAATAATCATTTTTTGTTCAAGAGACTTAACTACTATATTTGATAAAAACTTTTGAAATCTCTACCAATCTTTTTTTAAAATCTGTGATTGACTATCCAAAAATATTGTCTTTTAATAAAAATATTAAAATTAATTAATATTTATTAAAAAAAATTTAAGTCTATGAAATCAAGATTTGATCCATGATTATAGTTACAAGTGAAAAAAGAATTAGCACCCTTACATTACCCGTTCGAAGAATGATACCAACTAAATATGTATAATCTTTTAATTTTAATGATGTGATATTTTTTATATTTAAATTTAATTTTTTAAAACTTATTTATGAAAAATATTTTTTTATTGTAAAATTAGTACTATCATTATTTCGTATTATATAAATTCTTCGACACTTTGTCATAATTTATAAAAAATTTTTATTTAGAGAAAATTTTGAAAAAATCAACCATTCACAAAATTTTTAAAATTTCATCAAAAGATATTTTGTTTATTTATTAAAATTAATTTTAGGATTCTCTCAACTTTTTTATGAAATCTTCAAATTTTATTAAACTAATTTTAGAATTATCCCGACTAAAATCTTTAAATAAATTTTAGGATCATTTTAATTTTCTGACGAGATCTTAAAATTTTTTTTATGATAATTAAGATATTTAATTAAAGAAATATTTTTAATTTTGTTATTTTTATTTTATTATTTTTCATATTGTTTAAATAAACATTTATTTTAGTAAAAATAATTTTAGATTATCTTAACTTTACGGTGAAATCCAAAAAATTATTTTTACTTGTAATAATTGAAGAAAATCAAATTTTTTCAGTTTTTTTTAAATTACATTTAAAATATTCATTTAAATAATTTATTGTTTTTTATTTTTTGATCTTTTATTTTATTATTTTTTAACAAAAATTATTTTTTAATTTATCCTAACACTTTGATGAAATTTAAATAATATTTTGCTTGCAACAAAATTTTAATTTTTTTAAATAGTTATTTTTTAAGGATTTTTTAAAAATATTTATGCATATTATTTTTTTATTTTACTGGATCTACATTTTATTTTAACTTTTTTTTATTTTTACTCATTTCTAAATAATAATAATAATAATAATAATAATAATAATAATAATAACAACAACACAAAATAAAAATAAATATCAACATAAAATAAAAAAAATCAAAAAAAAAATTGCCAAACAGGTGAGGTTAGGCACAAGTTGAGGCGTGAGTTAAGGCACGGGTTAAACATGGATCCGAATGTCAGAACGATGTTGTTTTGAAAAGGTTATAAAAAGCTCAAAAATCATATCTTTTTTCATTTTTCTTTCCGTTCTCTTTCTCTTTTTATTTATAACTCCTCTTTTTAAAATTCAAATCCTCTCTCACCGATTATCATTGATTTCAAATTTTAACTAGTCGTCGTCATGCATCAGTAGTCAAAATCGTTAATTGACCAAAAAATTCAACAAATCCTAATTTTTTATTACTGAAATCTGTAATTAGTCGTTAAAATTTTTTAATTTTTTTAGATTTTATTGATAAAAAAATTTTAAAAATAAAAAAAACCCCTTACAACCTTCCCAACGCCTTTCTTAAACCAGTTTTACCCCCAAAAAAAAAAAAAAATCTAAAATAACCAAATCAAGAATATTTTTTTGTTTCTGAAAATTCTTTTGTTGTTTTCGAAAATTTTTTTTTCACTGCTGATTACTTTTTTAATAAAAAGGCTGTGATCAGTTTTTTTTTTTTTTTGCTGACATATAGCCCTTTTTTCTCTCAATTCCCTAGGCTCTGTATTCCTCGCTTATGTCTTCTTGTTTATTGGACAGCTACTTAGACTTTTGACAAAATCAAATTCGAAAAGATCTAAAATTTTTGTTGAAATTTGCATGTCCAAAGTTAGGCCAATTGTTAAAGCTGTTAACGGTCGGTCATGATCTAGGATTAGATTGCTCTTTAAACGAGCTGGTGCATTTAATGCACCAAAACTTTTTGTGCAGTATGAATTCAGATAAAAGATATCTGACCAAATACAGTGAGATAATAATAATAATAATAATAATAATAATATACAGGTTAAATGGGATTGGGTACCTACAATCATAATAAAAAAAAGCCAATTTTAAAGCTTTGACACCTACTAAAATGGTAAAAGTCATGTCCTGCTTTTTTATGAAGATCAAAATGCATTTTGAATTTTACAGATTATAAGCACAGATTATCAAGGAAAAAAGTAAGTACCTCCGAGCTAAAATATATGAAACATAAAAAATAAACTAAAATATAACTATTTGGATTTAATTCATGTGTAGTTGTACTATCTGACAGATATGTAAACAAAAATATACTTCATTTACTTATTAGGAAGAGACAGAAAGGGAGAGAAACCTCAACTGGTGCCAATTTACTTATTCCATGGGGTTTTCTTATCGGCTTTCTTGTTTCAGGCTCACGAACTTTTCCACTTATCTTTTACCTAAGTATTCATTGAAACACATTGAATATGATATCAAATAGTTTTAAGTGGTATATATGCGTGTATATGATGGAATTTCCAGATGATCATCAGTGTATGTATATCATAATTTTGTTTATAAAAAGTCTTTGCATATTATGTGTAGAAAAACTTCGCAAATTCTCAATATGGGAGAGATTTCAAGGCGTTACAACTCTACAGAAGAGATTTCAAGGCGTTACAACGATACCGCATTGCGTATCGTATTGTCTTTGAGAAATTTTGACGTAGTTGCGTTGTTCACGAGGCAAGAGAGTTTGTCGATGCCAAGACTTTCGCTTGGACACGGTCCTGAGCCTTGATATTTCCGATCGAAGAAATCGTGGGACAGCATTATCAGTTGCTTTCAGCACATCAGAATATTATCGTCTCTAGATTTAACAACGACATCACCTTTTAGTTGACTTAGTACTTCCGCTTCTCATTCAGGGGATGGATTTATTATTTATTATTTTTTTGGCCAATTAAGTGGATACATTCAAGCATATCAACTAGCCTAGAAGTATGTATGTCGGCTCTTAATTGTTCTTGTGGTAGCTTATAGCAAGGGTTGCCGTTTGTCTCAGTTTGGTCAGACTCCTATACGTAACCAAGCAGGGTTACGAAATATTTGGTCATGAACTCATGGTATAATTTTATTTTTTAAAATATTTAATTTGACTTAACTCTTTTTCTTTGCTCTAGTATTTCGGACAAAATTTGGCAGACTAAAAGCAAATCTATTATTATTATTATTTTTTTTTTTTAAGGATTTTGCATTTGAAGTTTGATATTTTAAAAGCAAAATCTTCTATTTTAGCATATGTATATACTTATATGTAAATATTTACAATATTATAAAATTATTTCTTTGCAATTTATGAATTGCTGCATTTATTAATTCGATTATGTTTGTTCTGTATCATTTTTTGGGTCAAATGAATTCAACTTCAATCCTTATTTTTAATAAAACCATAAAATTAAAAAACTTTTAAAAATAAGATTTGGAAAGTTTAAATTTCAAAATTTTCATAACTGTAAAATTATTTCTAGGTATCTACAACTTTTTTACCCTTTCAGTCAAATTGTTCATATAATCAAAAACATATTATTTTCTTTAACTTTGTAACAAAATATATATTTTTTTTCATCAAATAGGGACATTTCAATGTAAATGGAAAATAATTGAAGTGAAGATGAAATTATATATTTTTAATTTATGAGAATGATGATTTAATTAATTTATATTTTATTATACTTTTAAGCGTTATTCATTATCCAGTTTATATCCTTTGGGCCAACAAAAGTACATATTGTCGGAATTTTCCATCATTTTGTAAATTAAAATGCACATTTTCAAGTTTAAAATTGACAATTATATAAATTTAGGAGATATTTTATGAAGATGATCATCCGCTGTCACTTAAACAATTCCAAAAACAAGAAATTTAATACTTTTGAATAATACTTTTATATTTTGTTTATATGTTTGTTTAAAATTTAATATGATTGTTTAATTATAATTTAAAATTAAATAAATAAATTGTTCTATGTATCGCACAGGTAACAAAACTAATTTTCATATATAGATTCAACAATGAGTTTCACATAATATTTTAATAGATTTCATATAATTTTAAATTACATTTAATAAATTATATTGTAATAATTGTAGGTAACATATTCTCTTTTTCATTCCTCAAATTTTCCTAGGCTAGGAGAAAAATATCCTTATTATGATCAAAATTCTATTCAATGAATTTGAAATGTAGCATAATTGGTGCATATAATATCTAATATATTTAGAATATAAATTTTATCATCTGTATTTTTTTTTCTTATCTCCTATCTTCATTGCACTAAAAAATTCTGCCCAGTGAGAGCTCATGAACACTAGGAATACCGGGTGAGAGAATGAAGTTTAAATTATGTATGTTATAGTTATAGATGTTGTGAAGAAATATATAAAATTCCATGATAATGATAATTAGAAGAAGTCCTTTATCAAATTACGCGGTGGAATCGCCGCCCCCTAACAGCACAAGACACATTCCCTTTTATTACAGTATCTTCTTATTAAAGTGAATGTCCCACACGTCACCCTTCTGTCGGGCCTAAGCCATTGACTTTCTGCCAAATCAAACTTGTAAATGCCAAATCCTCTCGTGTTAATAACTAACACCCACTTGGTCTATAAATTACTCCGCCGAATGCCGATTCACCAACCATTTGTGAAAACTTTTGCAACTTTGTTTAACGTCCTAAAACCATGGAAGCAACTACTTTTTCTCTTTGCAATTCCTTAGCTCTTGCACCACGTCCGTTCTCCGGTGACCCGATATGCCGAAAAAAGGGTTTCGGAGGAGCGAAACCGCTGAATATCAAAATACTGGCGGCGAAAAGAGACGCACATAGTCACAACTTCGATGGCAAGCTTGTTGATGAGAGCATGGTTGTGTTAAGAAAACGAATTCACGAGATGAGCATGTTGGAGAAGAGTTACGAGCCACCCAAGCACTGGATGGAGTGGGAGAAGCAATACAAAAAGGCAAATTATGACCTCGATGTTTGCGAAGCAGTAGGGTATCTGCAATCCAAACTGATGGAAACAAGGCCTGGCGTAGCTTTGGGAATGGGAGCTCTTCTGCTGTTTAGCTTACCAACTTCAATGGCTGTAGTTTTGTTTCATGTCATGGCTATGATAAAAGGATTATAATTAAAGGTCATTTTTTATTTTTGATGTGAATGTTGTTGTATGATTGAACATTTCATCACGCATAATTCTTTATTTTATTAATCATGATCTTTTCATTTGTAATATAACTTAACGTTTGCTTGACCAATTTGGCATTGCTCACTTAAATTTATTTATTCAATTATATTAATATATAACTTTTCTATATAAAAGTTATTATTTGATATACTAATAATATAATTTTTTAATTTCACCACTAAAGTAAAAAAAAATTAATACATATATTTATTTTTTAATTAATTTTTTAAAAAATACCTTAAAATATGTATAAAATTTAAAAACTTCATTAATAATAAATAAAATAATTTCTCATATACATATAATAGATATTATAAAGAATCTTTTGTTATCCTAACTGTTTTTGTTTTGCTCACGCGGTCACGCCACGCCAAGGTTGTCGTTGCTTATCCTAAATGAATTTAACGTGTAAGCAATATTAAACTTTCCTTCATGTCTACTGCTTGTAAATGATATGACGTTAACTTTTTTATACCACTTCTTTTTGGTTATGTCTTAAATCTCACACTAATGGAAATAATAGATACAAAGCTTATAAATGATACGAAGTTAATATGATATTGTATATATATTTTTTTTAATTAATGTAATACACTGTTAAAATAACTTTGAATTTTTATTTTTTTTGAGTGTGATATATATATATATATATATAATATGAGAATTGTAAGTATAATATATGGCTTTGAGTGAAACAATTTTTTTTATTTTCGAAAATTATTTTCAAATAATTAATTAATATAATATAAAAAAAATTAAAATCAATATAAAATTTGTCGACATTGCCAATCTCTGGTAAGTAATAAAACTTAATTTTATTACAAACGATATGATTACGTTATCTCATAGTAAATATAAAGAAACAACTCTGCAGGCCTGCCTGCCTGCCCGCCTTCACGGCTTCACCTTAACCGCCCCAAGATAACTAATAAAATATTTGCTCACATGGTGACCTTGTCGTTGGTCAACAATATTCTGGCAATCATAACAAGTCAAAGTTAATGCCGTTGCCGGTGCTGAGATGCTTCTTATGGCGGCCTAATTTCTATTTTCACATTATTATATCACTCGAATATTTCAGTTTAAGTCAAATCATATTTTATAACTTTAGAATCCAATTTCAAATGCTTTTTTAATTTATAAAGCGACTTATTACATAATTTTTTTAAAAAAATTTTCAGGTGCTCTCATGTCAGTGTATTTGACAGCATAATTTATTGAGAAATGTTAGCTAATTTAACTAAAAAAATTTTAATTAATGCATTGTTATTTTTTGAATTCTGCAAAAGAATAATGTATTAGATTTTTTAAGAAATAATATTAAATTCATAATAAATAATATCTAATATCCAAAGAAACACTGTACATAAAAACTTGAATCTGACGTATTAAATCATAAATATAATGGTCACCTGTTGTGGAACTCGACAAGAAACCCAACCCGAAATAAAATAAATAAAAATCCATTTTTATACATATTATTAATAAATTTAATTTAATTTATAAAAAATAAATTAAAATTAAAATCATATATAGAACACTTAATAAATTAATTTAATAAGCATTACATGAATAATACGTAATTTATAAATAATATAATAAATAAATATTAAAAATTATTATTTACAATGGAATTAAGATAATCGATATCTTTAAATCACTTCCTCCTTACCCTAACCGTGAGTGTTTATAATTTTCGTAATTGGAGCCGACTGTGAGGGATGCAGATTAGCCATCTCCCCGAAGATTCCTTTTGTTTTAAAGTCTCCCACGTCTCTCTATTTCTCTGTCTTTGCTATTAAATGAAGATACAGAGAACCTTAACAAAATAACGAGCGCCACGTCGTGTCTTCATTAAATTCTCAATTAACGAAAGTCAAGCAGTGATGCAACGTACAAGAAACTTTGCCTACCCAATGCTGAATACACTGTATAAGCTAAAGCCCCTCTCGTTCCTGAACTTAACTGAAATCAATCAGTTTAGCATTAATTAGTCCATTACTTAGATGTATATATCAATAAGCATGATTAAATATATAAAAGGACATATAATTATAATTTAATCGTAAGTGCATAAATTAATTAATTTTATTTTTTAAAATAATATTTAATAGATATAAAATTTAAATATTAACGTATGTAATTTTTATATAATAGTTTCCTTTAATTAAAAAGTATTTTCAAAAAATAAAAAAGGGATTGTTACAAAATTTAAATATTGTATATATTAAATTTTATTTTTTAAAAATAATTACATAAATTAATTTCTTCTACTTTTAACTTTTTTTCTCATGAAAAGTACTCTATATCACCTATCTCATGCTATTAATTTTTCATAACTATTTACCCAAATAATAAAATCAATCATAAATTAAATTACTGTATATGTTAACATAGTAAATCTTATGATCTGAGCTTAGCTTCTAGTTGCATAAAATTCTTACCTCTAGAAATACTTGGGTAAGCTACATGTCGGTATCAAGACGTGATAACCGTTGCATCAGGGGATCCACTCTAAAAAAACGTGCTACAAAATTGTACCGCCGCTGCTGAAAGACGCGGTTTGGCCATCCCTTATTGCCTAAGATATTGCAAAGTCACATGCCCCACGACTTTATTTTATTTAATCTATCAAGATTATAAATTAAACTTTATAATTTATATATTTATATTATGTTTATTTTATGTAAAATATATAAAATATAAAATTATTATATTATAATTTCTTTTAATATGTTTAATATTAATTTTTAAAATAAATTTATATTCTGTTTTTATGAATTTTATATTATAAATTTTTTTATTATACCATCATATTATATCTAAAATCATTAGATCTGTTATAAATATAGAACTCCACGGCATTTTCTGATTAGATCATTCGATTATTATCTCCTTCCATGGTTCTTCACATCAAAAAGTAAGAAATGCAATCAACATTTCTATCTTCATCATCACTTTTCTTCAACCCTTTTCGTTGCTCAAGAACACGCCTTCAAAACCATAATCGGAAAAAGGCGATCTCGACGAAAATAATCGCCACGAGAAGATCAGAGGCTCATGATCAAAACTGTAGCGGACGACTTGTAGATGAAAACATGATTGTTCTACGGAAAAGAATACATGAGTTGAAGATGATCGAGAGCAACTACGAGCCACCGACGGATTGGATGGAGTGGGAGAAACGTTATTACACGAGCTATGATTCGATTATATGTGATGTTTTGGGTGTTTTGCAATCCCAGTTGATGAATAGTAGGCCGAGCTTGGCTTTGGGGATACTGGCTTTGATAATGTTAAGCGTACCCACGTCTACTGCTTTGATGTTTTTCCATTTGATTGAAACAGTCAAGGGGATTGTTGTTTCTGGGATTCATATGATATAAGAAAAGTGATGATCTATCTCTTTTTGTAAACGGATATAAAATTTATACAGAGGAATGAAATATTCATTTGTTTTCTGGATTTTATTTAAGAAGTATGCCATTAATTCAGAAATATTTTATCATAATTGAGGATATATTTTTAATGGAACGTATTATACATTTTTGTTCAAAAATTATGCTTATGCTTTTCGTATTTGTTGGACTTGGATTTTTTTTTTTTGCTAAGCCATGATTTTATTAACAACCAGAAAAAAGGTTACAACAGGGGTTCAATACACAAAAAGTTTTCTCCCAACATCTACAAACAGAACCAGAAAGGCACACAAGGCCTAAGAAGCAAAGAAAATATATGACAAATTAAAACAACAAAGAAAACAGAAAGCCATGTTACCACCACGCCACATGAACATCTCATTTCTGTCAACCCCTGCTTCTCTATAAACCTTAAGCAACCTGACATCACCGGCCAGAAATTATCAATTTCAGCAAAAATAGATCAGTGTCTCCGAGGTATACCCTCCTTTGGACACCAGTTCAAAGCAATCTTCGAATTAGACTATAATCAATCCCACACCTTCATACCTCCCAGATTTCACAAATATCTCCAAAGCAAATTTGATTGCAAATACTTCAGCAATGTTCAATTCCTGAACACCCAAAGGATAATAGAGCAAAAACACAACAACATAATTGATGTTATTGCATTGATTTCAATTTATAAGTTGTTGTTAATTCACCTATATAAACATATATATGGTTGAGGATGGTAAAATAATTCTACTTACATAAACATAAAAAGCGATAATGCTCCAACAAAAAGTATTCGATTCTTTTTTGTAAATGTTTATTAAGAGTTATTGTATTTATTCCATTAATTTTTAACCGGTTTACAAGTTCATAGTGAAAAAAAAAAAAAAAGGAAAGGAAAAACGTACAAAGTATATTGACCACTCTTCATCTAAATTGCAGTGGCTTAGAAAATTTTTACTGGCTTGCAGTTAATAAACACTGGAAATATCATAACCTCTTTAACAAATAAAATGCCAAAAAAGAAGGTGTTTCATGCGACTGTATATAGTGTGAAAGTGAAATGACAAGGTATGGTATTAGGGTTACAGGTGAGGTTCCCTGCTTTATTAATTCTGTCGTAGTACTAGCTATAATAAGCTGTAACTGTGAGATATTATAATTCCTATGTGAAATCAATGGCTCCAAAGAACAAGCAACAACCGTATGCAGTCTGCCAAATTAAGGTACGCTTCTGCAGAACATCATCAACTTTTAAATTGGGAAAAATCTCACTTTCTCTTTTTTGTCCCAGTTTTCTATGGCTTCACTAAAGCCATGGGAACGAGATTGTCAGCAAGAGACTGGCTTCGTTGGGCAAAATTTAACTGTAGAAGCTACTTCTGGTACGGTGTGCCAGTCATAGTAGGGAGCGAACAGGCTTGGTTCTATTAGGAGCCATTCCTTTTGAGCAAACTCTTTTGCGGCCAATTGTTAGAAGAAGTTCATGTTTATACGTTCTTCGTCCCAAAAAAGAAAATAAATAATTACATGCTCTTAAGATAAAAATATATGCATGTCATAATTCATATTTGCATTTCTTTTTCTTTTTTTTTTTGGTGATTTTCAGGCCATTTACAGTATCTTACATGATTCAAAAATGTTAAGATCATATCATAAGGTGTCAACCAATTATGCTATTAAAATTCTTTAAAAGCCATAATAAACCTGGATTTTTTTTTTTTTTCATTTTCATCAAAGAGGCAACTAGTAACTAAGAGCTAATGATTTTCTTTTTAAATTTTAAGATTGTTAAATATTAAATTTTAATCACTCAAATTAAAAATTTATCATTCTACTAACAAATTACAAGAATGTTGCATATCCCCAAGTTTTTAGAAATTAAGATCCAATTATCTTAAATATATATAAATAAATTATCATATAAACTAATAATGAACTTTTTTAATTCTATAAGCAAGGTTAAAAATGGTAATACATGTCGCTTAGGGTATATTTAAAAAATAAAAAATAAATAAAAAAGTAGGACATGTGTCACCATGTCAATCTTATTTGTAAAATTAAAAAACTTTATTGTCAATATATCAAATAATTTTTTATACATTTTCAACTTATACAATGTAAATATATTTTTTTTAGTTTTATACATTTTTTAATGCTTGATTTTAATATATCTAAAGGATGAAAGAGATAAGTTAAAATAGAAAAAAATTATTTCTATAAATTCAATGAATGGGAAAGACAAGTGAAAAAGAAAAAAAAAATACTTAATTTTATTATTTAAATCTATTGAGATCAATGGTTAAAAAAAAATAAAAAAGTATAGAACTTTTTTTTGTGTAACTTGATCCCTTCCCATATATATATATATATATATATAATATAATCCGGTTACACAAGTGTAAATTTTACACTTTTTAGATTTTTGGATCATAATTAAATCTATGACTCATTTGAATCAAAATAATATTTTTAAATTTAGTAATTTTGATTCACAAAATTAAAAGCAGTATAAGAATTACATTAATGTAAATGAATTCAACTTTATATATATATATATATATATATATATATATATTGAAACTAGAGGAGGACAATTTTTTGGTTTGTCTACTTTGAATTATAAAAGCTTAAAAATGGGATAATATTTGTTAGTGTCAAGCTATCTTTTAGGCGGGCATAAACCTAAAATTATAAAGTGGGATGTCGATTAATAATAAAGGTCGAAGGTTTCTCCGATATTTTATTTGACACTCAAGTCAATACTCGAGAATAGAATAGGAAAATGATAAAGAAAAAAAGTAGATATGAAAGTTCAAGTTTTTTTATAAAACTTAAGATGTACTATTTATAACTATGTGATGGAGGTGTTGGGCCTAGATAACTTGAACTTCAAGTGGCAATATTAGGGCTAATGTGCCAACTTAAGTTGAACTAGCAATCAGAGATCCAATCAAAGATGACAAGTCAGTATTTTCACATAACATCAGGTGGTCAGCTGAGATGGTTGAGTTGATGTGGAGCCTGAAACTTCAAATTGGATCAACACATTAACTCAAGTCAAATTGACAAAAATATCTTCATCTAATTGATGACTTACACTATAGAGTAAAATATCTATTTTGCCTTTTGTACAACAAAAATGCTCTTAAGAATATTCAAACTAGATATGAATATGCTCAACCTATCCTAAATCTACATCTTAGCTTGCCCTTAGATTTAGGTGTCAAGGCACCCCATCCATTGATTTTCATTAATTTAAATACGCTTCATCCCCTATTTTTATACCTATCATTTATTGTAAGTCAAATTATATAATTAGTCCCTATACTTATATGAAATTTGAACTTTAGTTATATATAAAAATTTGCAAGAATTAGATCCTCGTACTAGTTTAATTTAATAGTATTTGTCCAATTCGATAACAATGTTACTTGATCTTCGTTAAATTAGTTAATGTGGCTGTTGATTATGCTGATGTGGTATTGACTTTAATGATATGGCATCGACTTGTTAATGAGACAATTGATATTGATAAATTCAGTTGTTAAATTATGCAAATAGCCTCTATACTCATACGAAATTTGAAATTTAGTCTCTATCTTGTACAAAGTTTGAAATTTAGTTCCTTTATTACAAAAAATATTTTGAATTTTTAAAAATTCTCTTGTTTTTTAAAACATTAAAATTTAAAAATTGCTACAATATTCTTTCATCATATTTTATCACAATATTGAAAAATCTATCACAATATTTAGTCACAATTTTCATATATTGTCACTAAAGTTGTCATAATTTTTTGTCACCCATATGAAATACTATTACTAGTTCTGTTATTATTTTTTGTTCCGTCCTATCATAAAATATAAATATGTTATTAATTTTGTTACACTTTTCTGTCACAATTGTTGTATATCATGGCCATATGAAAAAAAAAATCTTAAATCAATCTATTAAAAATTTATCACAAATTTATCAATATATGATACAAATCTGTCATTATATAATTTTAATAAGACTATTTTTTATTAATTTATATAATGAATTAAAATTATAATTACATCCTATAAAAGTAAATTTATCTACAAAATAATGTTTTTATTTTTTTAAAATTAAACCATATTTAAATGATTTTTTATAATCAAATATAGATTCAAGATTTTGAATACATTAAAATAATTTATTAAACTTAATGTGTATTAGTTTTAAAATTAATCTTATTATTTAATTTAACATAATTATTTGAATTTTTTTTTGTGAAGACCCAACAAATTGAAAGTTTCATTATAACATATGATATTAATATTTCAATTTATCAAATAAATAATTTCTTCCTTTCGTTTTGTTAAAATTCAAAATTCATCATTCAAATGAATAGGAGCTTGTCCCTTGTAAGAATTTAGGTTTAAATATTTTATTTTATTTTATTGGATGGAATTATCATTTCATTCATGCTTTGTTTTGGATTCATTACAAATACAACTCTATTTAGTAATTTGGGTTCATTATAAATTTTGTTATATGATATATTTATACTAATTAAAATAATATTAACTTTGATAGATTAATTTAAATTATTAATATTATAATTTATTAATATAAATGATAATAATAATAATAATATTAATTATATATATAATAAAAACTAATATATTAAAAGAACTAAAATATTTTTAAATTTAATATTTAAAAAAATTAAAAAAACTAAAAAATTATTTTATATTAAAAAAATTAAATTTCAAATTTTGTGTAAATATATTATCTAAATTTTAAATTTCGTAAGAATATAAAGATCATTTATATAATTTAATAATTAATTTTATTAATTTTAATTATCACATCAATAAATTAATATCATATCACTAAAATTAATGTCACATCATTATGATCAACAACCACATTTATTAATTGAACAGAAATAAAATAATACATAATATTAATTAGATTAATATTATTAAATTAAAATAATATAAAAATATAATATCTACCAATTATTATATAAAAACTAAAATTCAAATTTTATATTAATACGTAAACTAATTGTACAATTGACCTTTACTTTAATATCTATCTTAACATCTCTAAGCAAAGTCACATGAAAATCAGCGGGAGGCCTTTTATTTTTGTTTAACGCTGGGAAATAGTACATCGCCATTTTCCTGCACGCAAATTAACATGATAATTTATTGTTACCTGTTTTTTTTCTCCTGTAAAGACGTTGCCTTAGGCCCACTCTTTTACATCAAAAAGTGAATTGCAGGGAGTGCACCTTGCAAGCCTGTCTTCGCATGGTATAGAAGAACCCCGGGTTCGCCTTACGCCAATTTTAAGCTTCTCTCTCTCTCTCTCTCTCTCTCTCTCTCTCTCTCTCGATTCTTAGAAATATAAAATAGTAATATGAAGTGTTAGAATATATTTAATGCGTACAATTATAATAGGATTAAATAAAATAATATTATAATTAATATTAAATCAAATAATATTATATTAATTTTTGTTTGATATATATAAAAATCAAAATCAAAATAATTTATTTATTGATTAAAATTATTTTTTAAAAATTTATATAATTTAAAGTATTGTTATAATTTTTAAAAATATAATAGAATATATAAATTTAATTTTATAAATTAAAAATAATTTTTTTACTTTTAAAAGATTAAATTATTTTGTATTAAAAGAATAATTAATTTTTTTATAATTTTTTAAAATATAAATTAAATATAATATAAAATTATTATTATTTTATTTTATTTATCACCTTTTACGTTAAACATTAAACATGATCTTAATTTATTATATTATTGTGAGGTTTGATGGATGAAAGAGCTATTTTCAGTCCGATCCGAGGCAGATATGGGCTGATAGTTGGCTGCTGACTCGCTGGTTCAAAATCTCATCAAAGAATACGCTGTGCAGCAAATATAGATTGGGTTGTGTTTATGATCTAACGATGTAGGTGCTGCGTTCAACTTTACATATGAAACAGACATAAATAAAACCTAAATGGCACTACTATCATAGCCGATCAACTAAGCAACAGAAGTTACAACGGGAAACTGCAATTGTGGAAATGAGGCTCGCGATAAAAGCTGGAAAGGCAGGCCTGGGATTAAATGCAATGGCAGTGACAGCTCCAGTGTGCCCTCGTGAAACTGAAACTGGCAACCCATCTGGCAAGTGCCACTGTAGATCATAAAGAATAAATTAGTTATCCAAGGGTAGAAAGAGTAGCGCTTGTAAAGCAAGGTAAAGAATTCTTACGACTCGAGTCACAAAATCATTCGAAGTAGAAGCCACAACAACATTTAAAAATTGTTTTAGATTTGGAGATTTTTCAAGTGAAATTCTGATTAGGGTTGAAAATTTAGAGATTTTTTCAAGCGCTAAAAAGTTTTTTAAGGTTATTAATCTGTTTTTTTTTTTTCTTTTGTTTTCAAAATAAATTTATTTTAATGATATTATTATTTTTAAGTAATATTTGAGATAATGTGTTAATATTAATGTGGATTTTTTATAATAATACATATTAATATTAACATTGTTAAAAATTAATAAAAATATCACGTCAATAATTATATCAATTATTTACGAAAAAAATTTAATACTATTAATAATGGGATTGAAATTAAAAAAAAAATACAAGGATTAAATTTTTTTAAAATTATATTTGAGGAATTAAATTTTTAAAATTAAATGAGTATAGAGACTTATGACTTATTTTTACTTAATAAAAATGTATAAATAAAAATATAAACATATAATACCTCTTTTAAAAAAAAAAAAAAAACTTTAATGAAAATTTTGTAAGAAATAAATATATAATAATATCAATAAATACCTCGAACTCTTAACGCATAAACTAACAAATAAAAATAATTTCTAATGATTCACACCACCTACTTATATTTTCACAAAGTATTGGAACATAAAAAAAATTAATTAAAATAAAACTTTTAAATATATAAAAACAATACAATCAATTATTTATTTTAAAAAATTTAAATGAATACACGATGAATACATGAAATGAATATATATTAACAAAAATAATTTAAATTTGATTTAAAATATTTATATTATTTAATAAATTTAAATATAAACTTAAAATATTAAACTTAAATGACATTAAACAATATTAACTTGAGCCTTGCTTTTTAAAAATATCAAAGAAAAAAAAAATTTTTCCCAAAAGTTTCTACTGTAAAAACGAAATTCCTAGAAATTTGCTTCAATAAATAAATATATAAATCATGCTTCCACGTATCCAAACTCGAAAGCTTTTACGTGATTCTTTCTTCTATTTTCCTGTCTTCAACTCCCTACCTTTTTTTTTTTTCTCAGCAATTCTCGTATTTTTCTGATTCGTAAGTTCCCTCTGTAACCCTGTTCTTCTTCTCCTCTTTTTTTTTTTTTAATTATTGCGTTATTTGTAAGAGTCTTTGATACCCTTTTCTGCGTTTTCATTGATGTAGATGGAGCGGGAATTTTTGTTTAATCTTTTCAAGTTTTTATCTATTTTCCTTTATCGCTATTGCTATTTTTTTTATTGTCATGGTTATTGATAATTTTGTGAGATTTTGGTGCTGCTATAATGAATCCCGTTATACGGTTTACAACTTTCTCAAGTGGGTTTTAGAGATTGTGTTGAATTTCTCTATTTTGTTTGTGTAATTCTCGTTCTGGTTTTGTATTGCAGGAAGAAATTTAAAATCTGTTCTTTGATAAGAATTTCGAAAGAAGATGATTCGTTATTTGGCTGAAATTTATACAAATGATATGAAGTCTAATGGGGAAGATTTATTAAGTGCTATAGTGCCTTCTATGAAAACTTGTCTCTTACAGTTATGGTATTGGTTCTTGCTCCTAAGCAAGCTTGTTTTTGCCTTATTCTTGCCCTGTCTAATTTTTACCGAACTGGGTGAAAGTATTACGCTTGATGGCATTGCTCAGTGGTGGTTCATTCCAGTTAATCAGTACTTTTGTTGGTTGCTTGCGTGGGTTTTTGGTCGTTATTATATGTCGCCTGCCACCTGAGTAGAAGAGATTTGCGATCATTATTACCGCCTTCGGCAATACGGGAAACCTATTTATTGCTATTGATGGTGCTGTATGTCACACTTTGAATTCCCCTTTTGGACCCCATTGCTACTCAAGGTGTGTGGCCTGTCTCTTTAGCGCAGTCGGTTGCTGTAATTCTTGTCTATTACCCTTGTTTATCACATGACGGAGCCGCCTTTGGAGTTCCATGAAGTTGTTAAGAAGAGACTGAAATCGAGGAACAGAGGCCGCTTAATGATAATGATATCAGCGGGCCTCTTTTGTAGAAGCTTAGTGGCCGAGTATTGAGGAAAAAGAGACCGAAAATTCTATAAAACCATTCGTTGCCAGGATTTTAACACCATCTCAAGTGGATCAGTAACCACTTTAACAATGGAGAGGCTGGTGAGAGCAGTCCCAGGTCCATTCGGTGCTTAGCTGTACCAAGAGTAGTTAAACTCCAACACAGCACATACCTCAGCCCCCTATAATTGCATCTCTACTAGCTATCATTGTTGGTACAGTGCCTCAATTAAAAACCTTTGTCTATGGCTATGATTCTCCTCTATCTTCCATCATAGACAGCTTGGAGATTTTAGCTGGTGCAATGGTGCCTTCTGTGTTGCTCGTTCTTAGCGGTACGCTAGCTGATGGTCCAAATGATTCTAAGCTTGGCCTCAGAACCACCACTGGCATAACGGTGGCAAGACTCTTGGTGCTTCCTTTGCCGGGAATAGGGGTTGTGACACTTGCTTCCAACTTGAATTTTCTTGTTCCTGGTGATGCAATGTACAGATTTGTGCTCTTGTTGCAATACAGTACACCAAGTGCCATTTTATTGGCAGCTATTGCAAGCTTGAGGAGTTATGCAGTTAGTAAGGTTTCAGCACTTGTCTTCTGGCAACATGGCAACATGTGTTTGCCCTATTTTCTTTGTCTCTATTTATTGTTGTTTACTTTAAATTGCTGCCAAATATTTAGCTTGGGAGTTTTGTTTAATGTCTTGACGCATGTTGTTCTACGTGCTTTACTGTATACAATGGTTGGCTGATCAACTATTCTTAACACTTGGTACTGCTCTGAAACTGGGCACGGCTCTTAGTCTTCAATTCAAAGTCGGTTTCATTTGGTATTCAAACACGAGTAAACTGTTACCAAGTCAAGAGTGGCGAAGACAAGGCAAAAGCTAATTATTCTTAGGGCAGGCAAGAATACAAACGTTTGATGCAACAAATAACAGGGTACTTGAATTTGACTTCTTTCAAACATTTACCAATAGATAATAAGCAACAAAAACATGTTAAACAAGAGTAACGACTCAGCATGAGTAGCCACCACATCAGACCTGAATTCAACAAGCCATTGCTTTGGCAAATATGCGAGTTTCAAATAACAGTAAAAACCTATTAAAGAACATAAAACAACCCTTGCTTCAAATATCAATCTGACTCAGTCAAAAATTCCAAATCAGATGTACACTAATACCATCAGAACTGCAATATCAAAATAATAATCAGATTTTAAGATTAAAATTATCATAACAGTTGAGTTGACATACATAATGCTCATAGTTCAACTGCTGTCACAACCCTAACATTCCTAAATCCAATCTTCCCTTGAAATTGCCTCCAAAGGAAATAGCAAAACTTGAAGAGACCACTCTCCTCAATCAATAGATGCCAGAAAGGAATCCAAACCCCCCCCCCTCCCCTGTTACAATAGCAACTTCCTAAATATTGAATAGGGTTAAATAATTTTCAGTTTCTACTTATTCTTGATTGTGATTCCAAGCTCACCTGCAATAATAGCTGTAGTAGCCATATCAAGAAACATGCCATGTTCAACAACACCAGCAATCCTCAAAATAGCATCACTTGCTACCTGCAAATCCCCCATATCTTTCTTCAAATACAAATCGACAATATAATTTCCGTTATCTGTGACAAAAGGCTCCCCTTTATAGTCATTCCTCAGCTTGGCGACGCAACCCGAATCTTCAAACAAGTTTTGGAGTTTATTAGCAGTAAATTTCCAACAAAAGGGAACGACTTCAACAGGCATAGCCAAACCGCTCCCTCCCAAATACTTAACCAACTTGGATTCATCAACAATACAAACAAATTTCTTACAAGCTCCTTCCACCATTTTCTCTCTTAAAAGAGACCCACCTCTGCCTTTGACGAGATTAAGATGTGGGTCCACTTCATCAGCACCGTCGATTGCTAAATCAATGTTGGGATGGTTGTCAAGATCTGAAAGTGGGATACCTAAAGAAAGAGCTTGTTCTTGTGTTTTCTTCGAGGTGGGAATTCCTATGATGTTGCTGAGCTTGCCTTGACGAAGCAACTCGCCGATTCGATCTACGGCGTGTTTGGCTGTGGAACCTGTGCCCAGACCCAAAACCATACCTGATTCGACGAACTCAACGGCCTTGTAAGCAGCAATTTTTTTCAATTCATCTTGGGTTAGGATGACGGGCGGAGACATAGGAGGATACAAAGACAAAGCCTCCATAGAAGAAGCTTTTTCAGACCAAGCAATTGCCATTTTTTTTGGTTAATGGGTAATAAAGAATAAATAAGAATATGTTAAAAATTAAAAAAAAAATTGCGACGATAAATTAAATCAACGCAAACCAATGGATTAGAATTGAAGAGAAAGGGGAAAAGAAATGGTGGGGTTTTTTTCTTTCTCCTTTTGTTTTTCCTTCAGAAATCCAAAATTGGAATAGAATTAACAGCGTAATTTTACGAAGGGAAAACAAAAGGGAAAGAAAAAACCAATGGGAAAGAGATAAGGAATTGTTTCTGTGGTGAAGTAAAGAGAAAGAGATGTGAGAGAATGGAAACAATGAGATAGGGATTTCTTGCAAAGGAGAGGAGAGAACGCGGGATAAGGTATTGTTTGGTTCCACGGAAAGCCAGAGAGCTTTGCTTGGATTTTATAAAGAGGATCGAGGAAGTTTAAAAATGTGAGGTATTTGAAAAAAAATGGTGTTTGTTAAAATTTGTCGTATATGGTTATTGAGAATCGAATCGTGGGAAGCAATTTCCTAGATAGGGCATCCTCCCAAGTGTCACGCCATCATTCATTCAGATGGATGGTCCTCGATTAGTCTAATGTTTTACTTTCCGCTTATCTTTTTGAACGGGATCATTTCAAACGATATCAAAATTCAAAGATCAAAAGAGTATTGGTTAGACATGATAATTATCGTATAAAAAAAATCGACGGAGCTGTTTGTTTTAAGAAAGATAATGGGAAGCAAGGCGTGGGACATTCTTTTATTTCGATTCTCCGCGTAATCTCTCAACCATTGGATGGATTTGTCGGTCTTCTTTATCGTTCTTGCTTTTTTTATTTCCCTAGATTTGATGTGATCTCCAAGATCTTAGCTTTGTGTAATTTCTTTTTTTTTTTTGTAATTTCTAAATATGTTATATTATATTAAACGACTGACTTTCGTCTCAATTTTTTATTGGCGGAAATGAATATGTGGTGGGGTATGTCATATGTGGTATCGGATAAAGATATGCGACTGTGAATGGTCCCCAAACAAAGATGGAATTTTTTTTTTATCTTTTTTCTTTAGGAGAAAAGAGTTATTACTTCCTACAACTCTTCCACGTCAGGCATATTCTTGGGAAAGTCAATCGTCCATCGAATACGCAACTTTGGTGATTAATATTCAATTGGCAATTTGATTTTCATTTTCCATGATTCTGCCGCGTTAGTTACCTACGGAGGCTGGAACGCTCGACCTTGGAACTTGGAACTTGGAACTTGGAAACCGTCTAGAAAGGGATTATAAAAATGAAAAAAACACAACTGGACTTGACTTGGGAAGACAGATACCAGCTTCTCACTTGAAAACCATGGGGGTTTCATGTTATCAAATACAAATATCCAAATAAAGAATAGAATTATACTGTAAAAGCTTCACAGAGAAGACCGATTTAATTTTATACTAATTTTTTTAAAAATCAAATACTAATAAAAATTGGTCCAAACCAAATATTTAGATTATTTTGCTATTTGAAATTCGAAACCATTTAAATACCAAAATCTTTTTTAAGGAAAAAAAAAATCACCGGCTTATCTTATACTATTACATAACATTTTTAGCCAATACACATATAAGAGTTTGAATAATTAATATTTGATTCCCATCCACATTTTTTATTCGAAATAAGCACTTTCAAATATCATAAACAAAACAATCTTAATATTATTTTTTGAGGTAAATATAAAAATATTCTTATATTATATTTTTTTGTCAATTTGATATTTAAAAAGATAAAATTTTTAATTTAATACTTTAATTTTCATTCTACTATTTATTTTGATACCTGAAATTAATGTCATTAATCAATTTACTAATATAATATAAGCATCCAATAAAATACTAATATATATAAAAAAAAGTTAAATCAATGTCATATTATCAATTATCATATAAGTGTTAAAAGAAATTTTTTAAAAAATTCTAAGAATTCAAAAAAATTAAAAAAAATCTAAAATATTTTTTAAAAAAATTAAAAATAAAAATATTTTCAAATTTTTCAAAAAATATGTTAAGACTTACAAAATTAAAAAATTTTCAATTTAAAAAAAATTATGAAAATTTAAAAAATAAATAATTTTAATAAATATAAAATTTTCTTAAAATTCAAAGAAAAATACACAAAACCTTAAAAATTGAAAATAATAAAAATCTAAAAATTTTTAAAAATTTGTAATGCTTCTTTTAAAAATTATGAAATTTTTTCATATTTTTTTCATATTACAATTTTAATTTTTTTATATTTTTATGAATTTTTTAAATTTTTTGAAAATTTGGAATTTTATTAAATTTTAAGTCTTTTTATTTTTTTCAAAAAAATTTTAATTTTTATAATTTTTAGTATATTTCAATTTTTCTAAATTTTTTGAAAGTTTTTTAAATTTTTGATAATTTTTTATAAATTTTCATTTTAAAAAATTTTATATTTTTTAATTTTACAAATTTTTTAAAAAAAATTATATTTTTAATTTACAATTTTTTTACGGTTTTGCGAATTTTTTTAATTTTAAGAAAAATTTATGTTTATTAAAATTTTTATATCTTTAAATTAAAAAAAATTGAATTTTTCTATTAATATTAACGTAATAATTGATGATGTAATATTAACTAAACTTTTTGACACATTTCGAGATCTTATTAATTATTCATATTATGTCACTAAATTGATTAATAGTATTAGTTTAAAGTACTTAAGTAGATAAAGAAATAAAGTTTGAATATTAAATTAATAATTTTATATTTTTAAATATCAAATTGATAAAAAATATATAATACAAAATTATTTTTATATTTAACTCTTATTTTTTTACTCCTATCCATTCCAATAGAATATTCAAGTTTCAATAAACATTCATTGTTCATGTTTTTCAACCAAAAAAAAAAAAAAAGAAAAAAGAAAGTATTACCAGGACAGGCATGCCGCAAGCCCCATGTTTAACAGTTTCGATTTTTTAAAATACAAACTCAATATAATATTTTTAGAATTTAAATTATATTACGGAGATTATGTTGCTTTTTAGGCGGTCATTAAAATTACAACATGTAACTTTTTAAAGAATTATTAATATTACAAATAATTTAAAATTTATAATAAAATATTTAAAATATAAATATATTAATTAACGCGATATTCACATCTAACATATTTAATTTCAAATGTTAATATGTAATAAACAAATAATCCCATCAAATATTATATTAATTAAAAAATTTGTAGTTCAAATTATATTAAAAAAATTTTAAATTCAATCACAACATTACATATTATACCATAATTCATAGATCATTTGTAATTTTAACTCTTTATTAAAAGATCTCCGTTACAACTTGTTGATGATATTTTTAGTGTCTTAGCTAGAGAGAGCTAATGAAAGGTTATTGGAGGTAAGAAGGTTTGAACCTATAGCCAAAAAAACATAGTCAAAGGATACTGAAATTGGTTTTTCGATAGGCATTCCAACACTCAAGTTAGTGAGATATTGAAATAAAAAAAGAAAAAAAAAAAAGAGAGAGAGATAAGGCGTATTTGGAAAGCTATATTGGAGGAAATTATTCAAGTATGAAGTATAATCTTGTATCTTATGTATTTAGATTATTTTTAACTTTATATATGAGATAAATGATAGTAACATAATTGAAAAAATCGACAATTAATAAGAAATATATGTGAAATTCAAAAAAATTTTACGTGTATGATTATGAATTGTATTAAATAATTTTAAATAGATATAAATTTTATTTAATAATTTTAAACAAATAAAAAATCTAAATATTTAATTTTGAAATAATACTTTAATAAAATGTCAATAAAATATTAGACAAACAAATTCCTTAAGTGAAAATGGTGTGATAGTTGAGTGTGCACTCTCTAAATACTAGAGAGTTTGACTAGGATAATATGTGTAAAGTTGCATAAGTCTACCTTATACCCTCTAATATAGCATTAATTTTTGTTAACAATTCTATCCCCTAAGATTTCTTTCCTGCCAACTGATAGTGAAATTTCAATGTGTATCACTGATTTTTATGCAAGAAATAAAATAGGAGCCTGCGCAAAATAAGGGTAGTGCATTTTCGACAATCCGCAAGAACCGCAAAACAGTTAACAAGCAACAAATCTCTGCTTAACGAATTTCTCACTTCGGTTATACTCTCCCAATCACATCATTCCACGTGTCTAAAGCATTCCCGCCAAAATTAACCTCCTCCACATCCATATTCTCTCTGTTTCTCACTTATCTCTGCAACAAATTAACTCGAAAACCACAGCAAAACCTCGAAAATGGCATCCAGATTCCTGCTCCTTCTCATCCTCTCTTACCTACTCCCACTTTCCTCTGCTCTCCCCTCCCAAACCCTGCTCGACGCTGTCGAAATCCTCTCCGACTCTGGCTTCGTTTCCATGGCTCTCACTTTGGGCCTCCTCTCAAAAACCCTTCTTCTTCAATCCCCATCTCTCACCATCTTCTCCCCCACCGATCACGTTTTTGTCGAACACGGACAGCCCCCACTTTCTCTTCTCCAATTCCACCTCTCTCCTCTCCCTCTCTCTCTCCAGTCCCTTGAAACCCTCCCCCCTGCCTCCACCATCCCCACTCTCCTCCCCAACCACTCCCTCGTCATCACCTCATCTTCTTCCGATGATTACGTTTCCCTTAACGGTGTCAGGATTGATGGCTCCCCTATATTTGATGATGGGTCTTTGATCGTCTTTGGAATCCAAGAGTTTTTCGACCCGAATTTTGGGGTTCCCAGGCCTAATCCTACTTGTGTCCCATCCGTCAATGGTGATGATCATTCATTCGCCAAGGCTAGTTTGGTTTTAAGGTCAAGTGGATACTCTGTTATGGCCTCATTTCTTGATTTGCAACTACTGGGGTTTAAGGCCACGACCGCTACTTTAACTGTCTTTGCTCCTATAGATGATGCCATGAAAACGAAGGGTTACATTGGGAACTTCAGTGAGTATCCGTCCATCTTCTTCAGGCATGTTCTTCCATGCAAGTTTTCATGGGCTGATTTGGTTGCTTTCAATGATGGGGCGCTGCTAGGGACGTACTTGGAAGGGTTTAAGATCAATGTCACTAAATCTGGGAATAACATGATGATCAATGAAGTTGCCATTACCACTCCAGATTTGTATTACGGTGGATCAATTGTTGTTCATGGTCTACAAGAGGTGCTTGCGGTGCTAGAGAAGCCACAGAGGTTGGCTGAATCTCCCTCGGATAATGAACTGGATCACTGTGAATTTTAGTGCTATTAATGGTTTTTCTTTTGTTTTTCTCAACGGCTTATTGCTGGATATTTCTAGAACTGACTTTTCCAGTTGATAATGGATGTTCTTTTTTCTTTTTTGGTGTCATTTCTGGGTTTCTTATAGACAAAGGCTTGGTATTTGAGATGATATGGATGATTAATTTGATGGACTTCAAGGAACAATGTCTAGCATTGGAGATTTGCATTGCAGGAAATTGAACCTTTTCCATTTCATGTTTCTTCTTAGTTGTCAAGTTATTTGTTTTGGTGGTTTCCTTTTTTATGGCAATTAATTTTCATTGAAAGCTTCTTATGCATGGCCAAATTTTGTTTTTAGGTGTTGTTACAACCTAGAAGAGGGGAAGGGGTAGAATTGTTCTGAATTTTACTTTTAAGATCAGTGGATAATGGATTATAAGAAGAAAATGCAGTCAAGCAATATGACAAACGATAAACCTTCTCAACGTTAGAAAATTGTTGAGTGCAGAGTTACGCATTCCTTTCCATGACCTCATCCACGGACTTGCGAGCTATTGAATAGATGGCATGGAAAAATAAAACAAGAGGAGAGAAAATATAGCAATTAAAGAAGAAACTTAGGGTTAAAATAAAAATACTCGAGAAGAATTTTATTAAGAATTGAGCCACACCTAACTATTGTAAAGACAGTGGTTAATGGTTATATATATAGCCATACGTTGCCCTTATCCTTTCCTTTAAGTATTCACATTAGACGGATGTTTGATCAATTTAAAAATTGAAATTCGACCTTTTAAATTATAAAAAATAAAAAAATTTGCATATACTTATATAAATTATGTAATTATATTCATCATTCGTCTTAAATCCAAATAATTTAAATTTTATCAATCAGTCGCTGACTTCTTAACTTGATAACAAATTAAGATAAATTAGAGAACAAATATACCAACATTACAACACCCAAGTCTCCTAAAAAGATAATAAGCAAATAGTATACATCTAAAATCCTAATTACCTAAGCCTAAGTAAATTCTAGCTAGTAATTCTTGGATGCACCAAATGTACGTACATTCTTCCATCCTTCATACACCCTTGTCCTTGAGATACAAATAAAGGACCAGTCTTAATTGTCAAGGCACTCCTTCAAAGTCTCCGTCTCGATCCTCATCCTCCTCCCAATGTCTTCAATCAAGAAAAGTTTTTGTGACTGGAGTAAGAACCCTAGAAGCCCGTAGTTATCTTTTTTTTCTTTTGTCTTTCAGTTGAAGTGACCTTTTGTTGAACTTGATATTTTGTCTCATATAATCGGGCTAGACCCACCTCTGCAATAAAACTGACCGCCTTGGCAGCTGCTTGTACACATTTACAAACAATATTTACTTCTCAGACATGATTCAGTGAACCGACAGAGCATCCTGCTTTCTTGTACACATTTAGAAAGAATATTTACTTTTTAGACTTGATTGAGTCAACTGACAAAGCATCCTACTTTTCGTGAATTTGAGATTCTTCCTGATCCGCTCAACGACTTTTCAAACTCAGATTAATATTCTTTCATTGATGCTACTTGTGATGACAAATGACAAAGAGATAGAGAAAGGTTAAGAGAACGAATACCAAATCTTCAAACACCTAAATCTCTTAACGATATGCCTTGAAAAGCCTCCAAAGGAGCTTGAACACAGTTACCCTACTTAAATCATTGTATAGAATATCATTTGGGTAAAAGAGGCAATGTTCTGGATGGCTAAACAAGCAAGAGACCGCGATATGTTTTGTTTTGAATTTTGAAATAAATTCCTTGTTGCAGCAGCTCCAATGAGCTTTGCATCTTTTCAGATGCAATTTCCTGCAAATTGCAGTTTCTTCCACGAAGGAAACAAGGGATTACATAAACATATATATGGCCAACAATCAAAATTCATTTACCATACATATATAACGTGACAACGACAGAAATGAGAGATTACCCTCCCAACTCAAAATGGAGCTTTGCCCCACCTTGGTTTCTTTCCCGTTATGGGATACAACGAAAATGAAAGGCTTCAACCTAATTTCTATCTATGATCTAGTCTCCGTTTGTCGTGCTTGCCAATGTTATATTGTTGTTGCTGTTTGAGCTGAAAATCTTTTTGCAACTCGTACATTTTATTGGCAACAATAGCTTCACAAACACTTCCTCCCTTCGGGGGCGGTTTGCATAGAATATCCAGAGAACTAGACAGAACAAGACTCCTACTGAGATTAAACCCAATCCTGCATTTACTTTCTTAAGGTAATGCTCCAATGGATGGCAGTAATTTGAGGTGATGTTTTGAAACGTATCCCTGACAAAATCACAATTTTGCAGGCAAAGTAGGGGCGGGGTATAGTGCTCGAGAGCATAGCTCTCATTAACTGCTGCCACCAGCTGTGTGAATCTGTCAGGTGTTATCCTTCCTGTGGTGGTGCAAAGCCCAGATGCCGATACCATGCACATGAAGTTATGCCAAACCTGAAAAATATAAAATTTAGTTGAGTTTTCTTGCAAAAGAATAGAAGAGACTTCTAATATTTAGTACAGGATTTGCAATGAGGTGTTCATCATCACTAAGGGTAGAAGTAATACTTCATTCGTAAATTCTACCTGAAATGCTTTAACCCTCATCGAGTTGAATTGAGTTAATTTTTCATCCTTTATCAACTATAAGCCTGAAACTTCATGCTTTACCCCTAAATGATTTTGCACTTTAGCTATGCCCGATATCCCAGGAAGTAAGTTGAGAAAACAAATGAAAGCATACCATGTTAAGACACTGCATGGTCTTAGGTATGTAGCTAGTAACACAAACATGCACCAAACCCGTTATGGCGAGTGTATGTGGTTAAAACTCATATCTATCAGAACATCTTTAAGAGCAAAAACAAAGAGCAATGAAGTTCATTTAGATTATAAACTTGACCAAAGCTGATGGCAACACAATATCGAACACATAATCATAGATATTTGGATATTTGGAGGGCTAAGTATGAATATATGGCCTAAGGCTTGAAGGTAGATCAAGCAGCATATCACATGCAAAAACAGCTATTAGATATTCAGAGACAGGTTTATTCACTTTGGAAGGATTAAGTTATCCAGTAATTTTCTGTGAGAAATAAATTCTGAAAAAAATCCAAACCAAATTACCAAATATGATAAACATACCAGAGAAGCATTTTCCATAGACACCTCATAAGACCCACACTGGCGATCTTGAAGCTGAGAATCAAATGGGTAACATAGAGTAGGCATTGGAGGCCCAGACTGGTTATAGTAACTATGGTCATCTGGGGAAGGATCTGAATTGGCAAAGTTGTAAATATATGTATTGACAACATTTACTATACCATTGATGACTTGTTTGCTCTGAGTGAGTGTATGGTTTGTTGTTCTCTGATCAACACAAGGAAGGATGTTGCTAAGAGCAGTCTCCGCATGGGGATTTTCCACCCATTCTTCCATAGCCAAACAAGTGTCTGAAATTGCACTGAAACACACAAAAGAGATCATACATCCGTCAGACAATGACAAACACATGGGCATTTTGCACATCAATTGTTGACCAAAAATTTTGAAATTCTGGTAAAATTAGCATTCTTTTTCGGCATCTTCTTGCAAACATATAAAATTTTCTCAAAAGAAAAAGAAAATCAAGTGAGAGCTTCATTCAGTGATTACAAAATGCTGTAGTGCACTAGTGGCATAGAAAATCATTTACTTGGATGCAATCCAAGCAAAGCAGAAGATTCAAAATAAATAATTAAGTTGGAACTTCAAGGTTAGGTTTGTTTAAGCATTTTTCCAACAAAGAACAGTCGAAATAATCATACATGGTATAGGGAAAGAAACAAAGAAATATAATGACATGGAGGAGCAATTTGTTAAACTACAGCCGTCGACACTAATACATTTTTAAATATAGTTTCAGCAAGCAACCTTGAATTATTGAATGCAAAGGTGCTGATACATCTAGTATTAACGTTAGCATTCTATAAACATGCAAAGGCTATGATGGATGCTAGACCAGATTTTAGATTTCTTATAAGCATGCAAACATGTAGGAAAAAATTAGAAATCTCTAAACCTAAAATCTAACATCTTACTTGTTCATGATTACAAAAACTCCATAAAGAATGAATGTACCAGCTACTAGTAGCCATCCGCTGACTATGAATCTGCAACAATATGTTGGTAGTGTCAGAAAGAGATGTGAAGTTGTAGTATAACTGAAAGAAAAGAATTCATCAACCAAAGACCAAGGGGTAATTTAACTTTAGAAGATGTTTTCCATTTTCCATTTCCATTTATACGCTAAATGTTATCAATAAGATAAGTTATTTACTAAATTTGAAAGATTGGAAAACAGGGGATTCCAAATGTGGTAAAAAGTTGGAGAACCAATTTTTAAAAATTTAGTTATACCTTATTTCATGATCATTTCATAATAGATGGAAAATGGATAACATTATTCTAAAACTACACAGGCCCCAAAAAAACTTACACGTGGATGGCATGTTGGTGCCCTAGAATCGATAACACTGCAACAAAATAAGGCACAAATTTCAGATAGGCGAGTTACATGTAAATGATAAAGAAACATATATGATACAAGTCAGTAATATCTTCTAGTGATGCTTACAAAGACCAAGCAGAGCCAAAATTAGCATCACTGCTGCCACGGTGATCAGTGCTAATCGCCTGAGAACAAATTTGAAATTGGCCTACTAAGCATTAATACTGTGATTTGCATGCTAATTCTAAAGTAAGGAGGTAAAATTAAATGGTTTAGGGGACTATACACAGCATTGAAGACTCTTCTTATTTTGCCAGCATTTTCAGTGGTCTTCTCTGTAAGTGTATCTGCTGCTGTGTTTAGATCTATGTTCAACTTGTCGATGTCAGTCATGACATCAAAAGGAAGGAACACCTGGGCCACATTGATGGTTTTTGCTAGAGATAGGTACTGTGTAACATTTTTTAGGATTTGCACAGTGTAGTCTGACTGGTTTACAACATATTTCAAAGTATGCAACACTTCACCATGAAATTCATCTTGCCCAATAGAAAGAAGAATACATCCAGTCCTGTTCAGTAAAAGATTTGGGGTTAGAAAAAAGAAAAAACTGGTAGAAAAGAGGTCAATATATTATTTTTCAAGAAAGAACATGTGCAAAGAAAAATCACACATGCCATTGAAAGGTACATAAATAAGTATGAGATAAAAATTTACAAAAAAGTGTAATACTAAGGCACCATTTGATTGGCACTTTTGCTTTTTGCTATTTAAATCTTATTTTTAGTTCATTTTTATTTTTTACTTTTCACTTTCTATTGGAAAAAGCGAAAAACAAAAGCACCAGCCAAACGGAGCCTACATAAATAAGATGTAAAAGCTCCACAAAATCTTAGTTGTAAAAAGTGCTAAGTTTGGATTATTACGCTGCAGCACTTGTGAACAATATGAGCATTATAAGACAAATCATTTGGGAATGATCCGATCTTTTTCCTTTGATGTTTACTCTCCACCCACAGCAGTGATATAGCACAAGAACCAAGCCAAAAGAAACAAACCACAAGGCAGCAAAAATGAATCCAGCAGCACCTGTAAATCCAACAGACTGCAGAAAAAATAGTCAAAAAGCCAATCAGAAAAATCTGATATATTATACACATTAGCAATGCAGAATGCGATCTTTAGGTACAAGGTGTATGCTGAAAGTCTGAAACATCTTAGTGTACTAGTATCTTCAGAATTCACATGCAAATTGTAACAAAAGCCTTGTTTGCCCCCTGATCCTTGTGCCTCTAAGAAAATTTTCTACCTGTTCCACCATATTTATTTTCTAATAGTCACAATCCTCCTACCTCAGTTCATTGAAAAATCCAGAAGAAACACACATATTTCTTCTTCTAAAATATCAACAGAAAAGTTTCTGATTCTTGTAAGACAAATACCAGAAGAATCGGGATCATGGAGAACATTATTTCTCTAGCATTCTCTTAAGTCCCAAATGAATTTAGGATAATTTCTTCCTCTTTTTTTGCTTGAATATATTACACTTTCTTTTCAACAACAACAATAACTGTTCCAATTATGCTCTGTTTCCTTGTCATTATTTCTACATATATTAACAATCTAATATCATTTGACATAGATTCTAACCTCATCATAAAGATACATTTTTATAAACTTAAATATGATATATACAATCCAATATTACCAAGAATTAATCATAACTAAGGCAATCAGATTCAACAGATCAATCAAAAGACTAAGAAGAAAGCAGGGCTGAGCCAAGACTTTACCGCCCAGTAATGCCGGTTGGTAATATCCCAACCACCGAGATAATGCTTGAAATGGCGAAGAATGTCTGGCCTATTTGTCCTTTTTGCTGCCAACACCAGCGTGCTTGGAGGCTCATCATTTGTAGGTGCTGGTGCTTGTGCCAGCTCAGATATCCCATTCTTCCACGGACCTAAATTCACCCCTCCTGCGTACACAACAAATATACACTAAAAATGAAACAATTTGAGATGGCTAATAGCAACAAAACCCTTTCCTTTGTCTTAATTACATAGATTAACAAAAAGTAAGCGCAGAGAAAAAGCAAAACGGAAAAGAAAGATCAGATTTTTCAAAAACAGCAATGAACTCAACCCAGTACTTCAAATTGGCTTATAGTTCACCAAAAAATTATATATCTCGGAACCCAAAAAAAAGGCATAATCCCAGTACTCAAAGTACCATTTTTCTTCCACTTTCCTTTTTTTTTTTTCTCAGCAACCAAATATAACAAAGAATATAAAATCACATTAACACCACATAATTCAAAAAAACCCAGATAAAAGGAAAAAAAAAAGCAAACAAACAAGCAAAATATAAAAGCAATAAAATTTAAACAGTAACGTTACATTATACTAGAAATCAGAACAGAATCATAAAACACCAACCAAAAATAAGCTTGACATGATCATTGATTGGTCCATTTTGAGCCAAAACTGGAACTGGGCTCAAACAACCAAAGCCAACAAGAAGCAAGAAAATGAAGTGTCTAAACAAAATGATCTTCTTCATTTGCGGCTTCAAGAAAAAGTTCACTGGAAACTCATTCTATCCTCTCAAGATATGGCAAACCCAAAAAGCCAAATCATAGAGACACCCCCAGGATCAAAAAAGTAGAAGCAAAGCCAAAAGTAGCGGTGTGAAAAGAAACAAAAGAAACTCTTAACATTTCAGCTTCATGATTTGATATGGTAACAAGTAATCCAAGAAGGAAAAGAAAGTATGATTCTAATTGGGTCTTGATTTAGAGGCAGAGAGAGAGAGAGAAAGGAAGACAGAGTCACATGGGAAGAAGGAGACTGAAAAGGCGGGTAGGATTAACAAACCAACCTTTTGCTTTTAACTCTTAAGGCTTAGTACTATTGGCCGAGCTTCAAGGTGCTTTCATAGACTTTAGTAGATTAAGCAAAGAACAAAAATACAAATACAAATACAGTAGGAAAACTGCATATGGGCTTCCTTCCATTTGCTGCTTTCTACCCACTAATTTTGTTGTTTTCTACTTTTCATTTTCGTGGAGTGCAGCCCTCGATTTTTCTAAATACCCCTTACTTTTCTTTATTCATTCACAACAATTTCCTCATTTGTATTTCAGCTGATAATTAGATGCGAAAAAATTCAAATGGAACTGAATAAGTATAAAGATATGTATTTGAAGCATTATTACTCTACAAATTTTATATATTATTAATAAATTAAATGATATTATTTTATTAATAAAATAAATTAAATAATATTTTTTCATTAATGAATAAAATTTTTAAAAAATTATTTATTTTTATATTTTTAAAAATTGATATTTATACATTAATTAACATCATCAAATTTATTAATAATATATAAAATTTATACATTGATAATATTTAAATATAAACTTTAATTATAAACTCGAATTTGAGTTGCATTAGTTTAATTTGTGAATTTTTTAAATTCAAATAACTATTTATAAATTTATTTACTTAAATTTATAAATAAAAATATAATTATATTACAAATAATGTAACAATTAATAAAAAATAAATTCAATTCAAATAATTTTTTAAATTATCAAATTTAATTAAATAAATATTTTTATAATTTAAATTAAAAATCGAATCAAATATGTATAATAAAATCTCAATCAATCATATGATTCAAATTGATATTTTATTTTTTTCGATTTCCTTTACAATTCGAATCAATTTTTTATTTTTTTAAAATTTTTTTCCTCGGAGTGTATATAAGTTGGTACTGACTTGAATTGATGGACAAAAGTAACTGCTGTATTATTTTATATAGTGTAATCCTTTTTCTTTTTCTTTTTTTTTTTAAATTGATGTTTTAAACACAATCTTTGTCAAACGAGTTCCGTTGCGTTTAGGTGCAGCGTAACATCAATATCTTAACGAATCCGTTACAATAAATCAATCAATTGCGTTGAGTACTGGAACCATGCACAATTTATGATGGGATCAGATCGGACGGTCTAAAATGACTCCAGTACATAAGTGATGAGACATAGCAGGAGGGGCCCCACCCGATGAAAAGTACAGAAGTTAAGATACGGGCGGTGGGTGGGACCCGAATCATCAATGACGAAAAGAAGCGAAGAGCGGTGTGGAACATGGATGCTGTGATCACCGTTCATTACGCGCTTGATTCGTGGAAAGGAGAACTGGGTCGGTTTTGAGATAGGGCCCGTCTTTGGAGGACCGCTTTTTAGATCCGACGGCCTAGGTCGGCAATTGCTTTTTGTCTGCCTTTTTTTTTTTCCCTTAACCATTTTAACAAAAAAAAATTCGAATTCAATATTTTGAGAAGAAGACGCAAACAATTGTTGCTTAAATTTGGTTTCTCGCCAATATGACAATGGGCTATATTTTCAAAGCCCATTAATACTTCATCATATGATCCAAGAAACAAACCTACTATTGGACATAAAGTCCTTGACAAGCTATCAAAACACATAGCCCAATGAAATAGGCCAAATTCTTCATTTGAATCCAAAGTTCTAAATGATTGTAATTGACGATGAAAAAACATTTTAAGGGTCCATTTAAATTCAAACGTATATGGGCACGGCATGGTTCGGTACTTTTTTAAGACAAGGTGGGTTGCATAAAGTAGTGTATCCATTAACACCTTTAAAATTTTAAAAATAAAATTTTGACATTTTAAAATTTTTTTTTATACACAAAACTAATAAATCCATCTATAATTTCTATGAATATTATAAGTATATAGTTATAAAAAAAAAGAGATTTTAATTCAGAACCAAAATCTTTATATCTTTTTAAAAATTCCTTAAGTATTAAATTAAAGAGACAAGGATAATCATGGTTTGATTAAAAAAATTTAGGAGGTCAAAGAAATAATTAAATCCATCTCAATTTCTCAAAGCACCTAACTCAGCATCATTCATACCAGCACCACACCAAAGATACACCCAAGAGTAGGATGCCTAATGAGAAGATAATATGATAATTTATATCAAATCATGTATATAAAATAACCAAAACTCATGTTATCAACTAATCTAAGCATGTGCTTCTATGCATGCCCCAAAATAAAAATCCTAAAACCTGCTTTTCTAAGTAAAGAAAATTAGAAGAGCAAGAATTGTTTTCAATAAGTATTTTTCAACTTTAATTTTATTTCATTTTATTAAAAATTATCATTATTATCAATTTTTTATTAGATGCAAAAAATTTACAAAAATAAGAATTTATTTTAATTAAAATTTTTTCCAGTTAGCAACAGAAAATATTAGTTTTTAAGAAAAAAAATCCCAAAAAAAAAAAATCTCATTATCGACATAAATCAGTAACTATATAATTGTTGCACGAGAAACAAATTTATGGGATTATTAAATTTGGATTTAGTTCAAATAATTAGATAAATTATCACAAAATTAAAATTAGATTCCATTTTAATGATGTAATCAATCGAATTCGAATATTTACAACATTAAATTTGAGTTTGAATTTGATTCTAAATTTAAGATTCCAAATTCGATTCGAATTTGATTATATCTTATTTTTTTAATTTGAACTGGATTTAAGAAGAAATAAAGTTATTCTAGCTCACTCGATTAAGTTTGATTAATACATAAAAATAAACTCGATTCTTATATTCGAGAAAATTTTAATTATTTGTATTTGAACTTTAATTCAAATTAAAGATATTTTATTATTTAAAATAATTAAAATATATTTTTAAATAAAAAAATTCGATTAAATTCATGAGATACTTAAATTAAGTATAAAAATACTCAAACTTAACTTGATTAATAAATCAAATTATTCAAATTTGATATTTACTTAATAATAATATAATTAAATTCAAATTTTATTTGAGTAAATGTCAAATAACTTACAAGTAGTAATATATCATTTATATCTTTATTCTATCAATTGCAAATTTCTATTCATAATCCCTTCAAATAATTAGATAAATTATCACAAAATTAAAATTAAATTCCATTAATTGATTGAATTCGAGTCTATACAATATTAAGTTTGAGCTTGAATTCGATTCTAAATTTAAAATTCAAAATTCGATTTGAACTCGGTTATATATATTTTTTAACTCAAACTCAATTTAAAATATAAATAAAATTATTCGAGTTCATTCTATTAAACTCGATTAATATATAAAAATAAACTCGATTTTTATATTTGAAAAAATTTTGATTATTTGTGTTTGAGTTCGAATTCAAATTTAAAATATTTTATTATTTAAAATAATTAAAATATAAAAATTATATTAGATTCATGATATACTCAAATTAAATATAAAAATATTTAAATTTAATTTCATTAATAAATCAAATTAATCAAATTCAAATTTTACTTGATAATAATCAAATTAAAATTAAAATTTATTTAAATAAAATTTAAATAACTAATAAATATTAATATATCATTTATATCCTTCTTCAACCATTGCAATTTCGATCCATAATCCCTTACGATCGTGACTCGTAAAACGAAAAAGTCTAACCACAAAACCATTTTACGTAAGCAGGGAAAACGCGGGCTGGCTGCTAAGGAATCTTCGTTTCACCCATGTTTCCGTCTTTGCCTCTGTTTTATTTTTAACCCTAACACCGAAACCAAAACCAAAAAAACAGAACAAACGCCCATATATAAATACAAGACTCAACCCTACGACACGAGAGAAGGAATAGAAGGAAAGGCAAAAAGATTGCATTTTCAACTTGCTGCAACATTTGCACTCAACCTCTTGCTTCATCCCAAAACTATAGCTTAATCTTCACAAAGACAAAGGGAGAAAATAAAAGAAAAGAAGGTTCCTTTGCTTGAAGAAAAACGATCCCTTTCTTGTAAGTTTCTTCTTTTTATCCCCTTTTTGTTGCAATTTATCCACTTTTTGTTGCAACCCTTTTTTCTTTCTTTCTTTTTATCATTTATGCTTTTGCCTTTAAGCCTCTTGGATTTGGTAAAGCACTTTCTCTTTTTGGTTTTGGCATCTGGAGGCGCCTTTATATTGTTTTTCTCTAATTCCTGTTTTCCTTTTCTGGGTACTTTACCTTTCTTCTTTTTGTTTACATTGGAATGTTTTTTTTTGGGTGTATTTTCCTCAATGGGTTTATGCCAATTAGTTTGGTTTTATTGGGTTTTCTTTTTGGTAGGCAGTTGTAATAAAGTGTGTTTGTTGTAAAAAAAAAAAAAAATCCTTAGTTTATTTTCAATCTTCTCCCTTTTCCCTCTCTAATTAAACTTTGAGATTTATTTAGAATAACTTCACATTTGTCTTTGCTCCAATCTGTTGAGCTTTTGATGTTGTACCATTCATTTCTGTTCAATTCCTCTTAAGATGTTTCCTTTTGGTTTAATGGTTAGAGCAAAATTCTTCTCACATTTTCTATTAGGTTGCTTTGTCCATCCTTTATTACATTCATTCACTTGTAGGTGGTCCCATTGACCTTGGTTTTAGTTTGTGGGGAGTTTTATGAGCATATATCAATGCACTAGCACCTAAATTTAAAAGCTTTATGATTGTTTATAATGATTTGTAGTTTTTGTGAACAGGTGAGAAAGTAGACAAGAGAACCTGATCAAAGGATTCCTGGCTTGGCTTATTAAGTCTGATTGTTGAATTTTTCTATATCTGAATATGGGGGATCATTTTGTATTACTAGTGGACCGGTTGCTGACAGAGTCCACATTGGAAGCTGCAATTGAAAGCAGGAACCGGTCTTTGCAGGCCACTGCATCAACAGTTGATGACACAAAAATATTCAATTCTTCTCCAAAGTTGGATTTATCGTCCCCAAGGAAAATTGTCGAATGCAGGATATGCCAAGACGAGGATGAAGATTCAAATATGGAGACCCCTTGTTCTTGTTGTGGCAGCTTGAAGGTTAGTTTGGTGCTTATTTGACCGGCAGTTTTCAAATTTTGAAAATATTAAATTTGCGTTAAGTTTCTTTAACAAGCCCCCTTTTTATACTTTTCATGGTCTATTTATTAAAGATAACCCCAGAATTCTTTCATTATATATGATTTGTTTCAAATTTTTATTGAATGATGTGATGAATTTTTATCTAGTTTTTACTGCTCGGAAGACATCATCAGTATCAGCTACCTGGTTATTGTGTAAATTTGAGGATGGAAAACTATTTTGTGGATTAATTCTCTTTATTGTTCTAAAATCTTCCATGAACAAGGATGATGTAAGTTAGGTTTGAGCCTATATCAAGTTGACATGTTTGGGAAGATAAAATAATAAAAAAAAATCATTTTGATCCTGTCTATTGGGGTGGGCAGTTGGCTACTAGGAACTACCTAGTCATTTCCTTCTCATCCCTCCGCCTCCTTTCAATAAAAAAAGAACAGCCTTAGTCCTTAGGCCTAAGTACAAGGCCTTTTTTTTTCTCTATAGCAATTGGCAGACGACAAGTAGTTTCAACTTTCAACATAAGGGCTTGATTTCTTCCATCTTGACTTTCTGCATTCACGTTTGTCTTGTTAATTCTGAAGAATATTTGTTGACAAGTGACACCACCATCATTTTAACTGCACGAACTTATAATTCCTTTGTCCTTGAGTTCATATGTAAGCTTTTCTTCAAATATTTCATTCAATCTTGTTGCAGAGCATACTTGACGTTACAATCTATCATATGTGTCCTGAGACGCAGCAATAGCTCTTTATTTTTGTCCATAGCATTATCTTTTATAACAAGTATGACCCAAAAATTTATTCTCAAAGCCGATTGAAACATGAGACTGCATATTCTCTGAATGTGGCTAATGAGGAAACATCTCTGACTGACTCTTCTTGAATTCGAGTTTGTGTTTCAAGAATAAATTATTTTTGCTTGTGTTCGTATAAGAATTTCTTGCTTCAGTTGCAAGAATATCAATGATATTTTGTAAATAGATTATCTTGCTCCTACAGCCTTAAATTTGCTTTCATTTTAACTTTTTTTTCCTAAAGAACATTGTCCTTGGGAAGCTCTGAATATGCTTTCCTTCCTCCAGCAATGAAAAGTGAAGGGTTTAGTCAAGGTCTGATTAGTTCAAGATCGATTGTAAACTTACCTAATTGGCATGTCAATTAATTATTAGGTTTCAACTTCTACAAATTTGTTTCAAATGCAACAAAGTATTCTTGTATCCGCTGAATTTTCTTTGTCTTAATTTCTTAACACCCTGTATTTTATTACAGTATGCTCATCGTGGATGCGTACAAAGATGGTGCAATGAGAAGGGCAACACTACCTGTGAAATATGCCATCAGGTTACTTATTTGACATTTTATTTTCTAGTTGAAGCCTTTCTTTTTTTTTTTAATTCCAATTTCTTCAAGTGGTATATAGAGTTCGAGTTCTTCCTTGTAGTTCATCTCTGGCATTATGTTAGACTAAAATTATTAGATCATAAATCTTTTGCATTTCAGCAATTCAAGCCAGGCTATACTGCACCACCTTCCTTGTTTCAAATTGGGCGTATTCCAATGAATTTGAGGTAAACTTTTGTATAAGAAAGTGCTCCGTTTTTCTCTACAATTTTCTCAATAAGTACCCTTTATGCTTTTTTATCAGAGGAAACTGGGAGATTTCTAGGAGGGAGTTAAACAATTCCCGCTTTATAGCAGTGGTCTCAACAGATCGTAGCTTACTGGATTCTCGTTATGATAATTATTCAGTCTCGACTACAAGAAGCTTGATATGTTACCGTACAGTTGCAATAATTGTAAGTCTTGTTGTACTTGCGTGCGCACGTGTGTGCGCGCCTTGATTTCTGACAGTCACTAAATCTAGTTAATGGGAGAACCTAAAACAATGGTCGAGACTATACTCTTTGTTCATCAATTGCTATCATTTTGACAGCTCTCTACCCAACTCTTTATCCTTTTCGTCTGCAGTTCATGCTTCTTTTGGTTTTGCGACATACCGTTCCTGTCATACTAAGTGAAACCAACGAGTTCTCTTTCCCATTGTTTATGGTGAGACTTTTTTTTTTTTTTTTTTTTTTCGTGTTGGAAGATAATTGTAAAAATTCTTCACTTTCAGACTATAAATTTATGTCATCATACATTGTACAGTTGTTATTACTTCGGACTGTTGGGATTATCCTGCCAATCTATGTTATGGTTAAAGCAGTGACTGCGCTCCATCGCCGCAGGCGGCAACAGGTGAGTTCCTGTTCATTCAACTCATATTTCGACTGTTCGGGTGTCTATGTTAAGGTGAAAACAGTTAGCTCATCGAGTGCTTTTCTACTTTGACCATTAGGAGACGCCAAATTCATTGTTTACTCAATCAGATGAAGAAACTGAGCATTCTATCATGCAAACTCAGCCTCACATGGTTAACATCCATTGAATTGCAACATAGGTTCACCAAAAGTGATCACAAGATGAGAACACACCACCAATCTTTTTATCTGTTTCATGATTCAAGGTAAATGAAACGAGTAAAAAACTGGAAGGTTTTGATCTCAGTGGATAATACAAGAGGGCTTGTAGTTTGACAAAGTATTGTAATAGCCGTACAAAATGTTTTGGAAATTGTCTTAAAAAATTGTACAGTATGGGAAAGATCCTAATTGTGTATAGTCAAAGAAAATATACATTCAACCAAAGAAATCCAAAGAATGTACTGTGTATATTAACCATTGTACGGTATATAAAAGAACAGCTGCAGTACAAGTGAATAAACTTTATCCTACTCCAATGTTCTTTCTCTTCTTTTTATTATATTTCAGTTGCTTTGTTTTTTTTACCCTGATGCAAAAGTATTGCAGAAAAGAAAAAAAACTAGCAATCTTGTTTGGAGATTTTGGAGACATTAAGATTGTTCAATTTCTACATACATACCTGAGCTTAATAATTGCTAGAAATAGAGTTTAGGTTGGAGAGAAGGAGATAGAATTGTCAATGCAATAATGAAAGTACGACTCATGAAATAACCCTAAAGGGGTTTATACAGTATTCCCATACTAAAGTTAGTATAGTTCTTCACTTTTTAGTATTACAAAAAGAAAAAGAGATAGTTCTTCAGTCTTTACTGTTTTATCAAAAAAAGAACAAAATCAGGTGAAGGAATTGGAGGCCACTTGTATCAGACAATCAGAAAGTCATTCTTAAGTACTCATGCAGCATGTCAAATGTGAATGGAAATTAAAAAAAAAATAGATGCAAGACTAGAACCCAAGATTAAATTTCATGATGAGCTTGATAGATAACTGGTAAAGAATAGGACCTCAAGTGGGACATTTGGTACAAGGCCGTAACCTGGATTTCTACTTGGATCTTGAGATCATCCGACTGGGCATCTTAAAGTTTTTGTGTGATTTTTTGTTGTTTTAGTAATCTTAATTCCAGCTTCTCCTTGGCCTGAAAAGTGGTGGAAGAAAATCAGATAAGAAAGTTACATCCTAACTATCAAAACCTCTCTCTCTCTCTCTACACCTCCCCCCACCCCTTTTACTACCCTGTTTCTTTTTTCACTATAATGCTTTTAATCCTATCTGAAAGTACCCATATCCTCATAATTATCATATGTTCTTTAAAGAGTATAGTTGGTGGTAATACTTCCGATTCTTCTGCTGAGATCGCCAGTAGCAAGCAAGTGCTCCAAATGCACAGCTAGCAAGCGCAATAGCCAATGCAGCCCCCATAGGCACCACAACTGCGTTTGTTGAGGCCACCAAATCATCCAGAGTAGCTTTCTTTCCATCATCGGCAAGTAGACCCTTTTCTTTGTACAAAGATGCTAGTGTATTTCCGTAATAACTAATTAAGAACTTGAACACTTCATCCTGGTCCCAATCAATCTGTTTGCTTCCTTTATCTTTGGGACTTTGGGAGTAGTGATAACATGAAGGACAAAGCTGTTTTGGAGGCCAAATAATCTTTGGGAACTTGGGATCTCCAGTTTTCATAGATGCTTCTTCCTTCATTAATCTCTCATTAACTTGATTATGTGCACTCCACAACCAAAGGGCAAAGTCACGGGCTTTTTTGAAAGGACTAGTAACACTGCAAATTGAACATTTGCAGTTAGATGAAATGAACTTGTATGTATTTAAGAAAATAACTTCCATAGGAATCAAATTTACCTTGAACACATCTCATGAAAATGTTGACGGCAATCCTCACAAATAAAGAAGTTGTGAATAAAATCACATATAGATGTAAATGCAAAGTGGCTTTCTCCATCCTCAATCCTCACAGAGAGTGAATGCATTAAAACCCATAAGCCACAACTGCAAACAAATATGAATAATTATTGACAACTTATAAAATCAATTACAACTGAAGGAAGCTCTCTACTATAATTGACTTAGTATGCGAGGCTTATAATTGTTGAAAAATAAATGTTCTTAGCTATAGAATTATAGGAACAAATAACTAAAGAAGACGGCTAATTTGATAGAGTAAAACAAGTTTCTATGACAAAGGTTACCATTTTATTTTAAGCCACATATAGCAAAATAGCTTAATTTGTTGTTGTTGTTGTTCTATGCTAAAATATCAAAGTAGCTTGACATAAAAGATAATGGATTTTAACAGTTTCCATTTGAGGTAAGGACTTAATGAAACAAAAGTAGTACTTTAAGTGCTCCATTAGATACAATAGTAGAACAAGGGCTGAGCTAAGAAATTTGAAAAAGTACAAGGGCTTTTTTAGTATTTTATCCAAAAAGTAATATCCGAAGAGAGGAAAATAAAGTAACAATCCGCTGTGGGAGAGAGAAGGAACATGACAGAGAGAGGGAAGAAGTTTCTAGAGAAAGGCAAACAATGAAAGTGAAGAAAAGAACTTCTATTCGACATAATTGACATTGATTTTGAAATTTGCTAAAACCACATCACCATCCCCAGCTAACATTATTAGTTAAATAGCACATTAGGAGAAATTGGTGATTGAAGGAGAAAACTAAACAAATTTTCAGTTCAAATACCCAATTAAACATTGAGTTGTACTTGAGGTACCATTTTTGCAATTAACCCTCCTTTTAATACCTCAATATATCATGTTCACCTCAGTATGTCACAATGTAACATGAATGAATGCACATATGCAGTAATAATTGCACTGAAATATATAACGCCATCCCAATTATCTCCCATGCACTGACCCTATAGAAAGAATGCTACTACTTTGTGGGTTCATAGAGAAGTAAAATAATTTGATGCCAAAAGCAATGCCTAAAGAGAGTGAAAGGAACCTATGAGCAGAAAAGTTGAAAATTTTCTTTCAAAAATGCACATTAATTAATACCTAAAGCCCCTGGTATCATTCTTGCTGCCACGACAAAACATCTGCAAAAGGAACATCCGAATGACATAAAGCAAACATTAAAAAAGAAACACCATATGATATTTTCAAAAGAATATATTTATCCTGGGCAAAAGAAAAAAGGAATAAATATTTATAGAGCTTAATCAATTTGACAATCTTACATCTGAAAAATATGTCACAATTTGCTCTTTATTAGTAGACAAAAAGAGAGGCAATGGATCACATGAAATACATGCTGCAGCTATTTTTTGGTAACTAACAATCATCAATGGTAATATTAGAGCATTCCAGTTCATGCAATCTAGTAACTAGTTCCCATGTCAACCATCAAAAATTGAATGTAAAGCAAATGAAAAGCATTTAACCCTGCCTAGATGGTACTACTTAATATCAACATTTTCAAACATATGCATGGAAAGAAATATCAAACCAAATTTGCATTTTAGTACCTACCCAATATCCACGGGGAACTTCCTTTCCACAAATATTGAAATTGCTTAGCACCCCCTTCATGTCATTGGTGGCAACATCATGTCTATCAGATGACCACGTATCTAACGGGCACAAGTCATCGAAGTTCACTAGTACTTCTGCACTTCCCTTTCGACACCTATTACAAACATTCTAGTATCACAATCAAGGAAACACCACACAAAGCAAAGCCAAGGTACATACTGATGTAAGATCTTTACCTCCTGGAAGGATGATGAGCCACTAAAAGCTGAACGAATTTTATGAGTGAAGCTCGAGTTTCTGATTTAATCATCTGAAGGACATCATCTTAAGCAACTTTAGAAGAAAAAAAAAATTCCCAGCTGTGAGAAAGAGAGGAAATTTTACACATGATAGAGAAATTCCCACCTTGTGTTCTACAATGATGTCAAAGGCAGTTGCAGTTGCCTCCTCCACATCATATATGGCTCGAGCAATCTTTCACAACCCAAATAACAAAGAAGTTAAAATCCCAAGCAAAACAAACAAACCTCAAACATGCATTATTTAAGAAGCAAATTGGAAATGCACAAAAAGACCTGTCCAGGATCCGATATATTTGATGGAAGATGCTCGTTTTCAAATTTTTCATCATCAAAGCCATATGAACTGAAAAGGAGTATAAGCAGTAGAAATCAATGAGAACTAGAGCTGATTGTCACAATTTCATAAATAAGTGCAAACCTTTGGCAATAACTTAGCAGCGGAAGATCAATCAAGCACCCATTTTTTACAACTACATTCCGAGAACAGAAGCAGATTTTATTATACCCCAAAAACCTCCCCAATACCGATGGTTGCCATACATTACCTTTAAAAGAAGGTCTAAAGTTCCAATCCTGCTCCCCACCCGGTTTTCTAGGACTAACATAATAATCAACACCATCGGGTGTGACAAGGGAAACCTTCAACTATTATTTTGCATTTTTTTCATAAATTATAATTCTTAATTTTCAGAAATCAGGTACAGACTTGAATCAAAGTATGTGTTACAAAACCAAACACTATAGCAACTAAACTCCCCGTCCTACCAACTCAATACACACTTTGGCATACAATAAACTTCAGGCAACGTATTAAAATATTCAATCATAGTCTGTCTCAAGGATTTATAATAATATGCTGACATAGTTCTACGTACATAAGCATAAGCTGCAATTGAATCTGAAGAATACATCATCTTCCTATATGCTATGTCAGTATGATGCATCCAAGTGCAATCATGAAATTAAAATTAATCTTTATATCATATTAACTGTCAAAATATCTTCCTGCATGTGGAATTAATAATGATAAGATTATTATATAAATAACATGCTTTTACCAAACAGATTATTCAGCAAATCCCAAATGTATAAGCATAAGAGACAAATTTTTGGTAAAAAACTGAGCCTCATTATGGATAGTAAAGCAATCATAATTGCCTTTACAATTCCAAAATTTCAAGTTACCTCATACCTGCCTATTTGCTTATTGATCCAATTAAGTAAGCGTTCCGCTGTCCGTCCATCATCAATTACACGTATTTCAGCTTTTGCTTGGTTGGGTTCCCAGCCAGCAGAAAACTTTGCAGGAGGACCCCAAAACAGCATGGGATAGTGACCCACAGAAAACTTATCACAAAGTTTGGTATTTATCTGTGCTGCCAAACAAGTGAAAGAAACAAAGCAAAATTAACAAGATAAATTTTTCAACAACCGAAAACGAGTCAAAAAGGAATGCAATATTTTATATGGCATTCAGTTAACAGATCAAGGCTAAATAAGTAGTAAATCTAAATATATGGACTAAAAGGAAAAGCTACCTTACATGACTACACTCTAATTCTTCAAAACTCACAAAAATAATGATATTAACAGTGCCATTTTTATTTAACTTTCATTTTAGCTGCTTTACTCCGCAACTCGAGAAGGCCTGAATGACAGAAAACATTAAAAGTGCTAATATCAAAATGCTCTCTTTATTATTGCCCCCATGATCCCATCAATGACATCGTAAGACAATTATTTTCTCAATTATGTACATTTTGACTTCCAAGATTTATGATCTGGCTAATATTAGTTTCAATTGTTCCTGAATTTCTAATTCTACATGTTTCTTCTCAGCAAAAATAACACATAAAATTATCTTTCTAATATATAAGATCTTCCTAACAAATAACAATCCACAAATCATTTTAAAAGAAGTCTTGGTTTCTAATAATTCTCATTTCTTGGAAATTTTCAAGACATTCAACAAATCGACCCCATGTCTAGAGTACCTTCAGTTCGCACCAACTTAAAACTTCTAGATACCTTGTGGACAATGTTAGTAATTATTATGTGATGGGAATAAATCTGGACTCAATCTAATACAGCCTGACAAACACTTTGGAGTATAGAGATTATTGTGTTTTTCTTCTTTTTATTACTCTTTACACCAGTCATCTTTGAGGCCCTTTTATCAACTTAGGAATAGTTGAGCTTTATTTCTAGGGAAGACACCAAGGATAGGTTAGGGTCCATTTAAGATGGAAGAAAATTTATGCAACCAAGGAGGCTGGAGAGGGCGTAGTAAAGATTTTGACTTAGATATTGAGAGAGCATACTAAGTTTGTTATGCAACAAATATACTCAATCAACCAAAGAGGGGAAAAAACACTGGACTGATCTTTTAAGCTCACACAAATGAATTTTGATATATATTCTCAAATAACTGCAGAAGTATTATCAGATAACTTTTTATGTTTGGCGGTGTTAAGAAATGCTTGAATGGAGCAATAACAAGTACAACCACTGAATAATCACTAATCAAATATAATTGTCCATTTGTTCAATGACAGATGCTATTCAAAGATCAAACTGCTTGTTCTAGCTATTAAACATAAGGCGTTAAAACTTTATTTTCCAAATTCTGCATCTACACACTTATCAATTCCATCTTAAATCCCAGCATTATGCTAGTGAGGCAAAGATATGTCATTGAAGAAACAAGTGTATTTACAGTACTACTTCCATGAGGCTGCACTTCACAAGTATCCAGAACAAAAAAAAAAAAAAAAATACCTTCAATGCACAGTCTACTCTAGTCATCAATATGATACCAGGATGCACAGCATCAGGTCCATTGAAAAGCCTTGCAACTTTCTCATAATGGGGCTGTAAAATTGTATGTAAAGCGGTAAAAATCATAAGAACATGAAGTTATGAAAAATGCTAATAGCAAAATATACCATACGATACCTTGTAATTTCTGCAAGCAGGGCACCTGAAAAGTAATAATCACACAGAAGAGACAAATGTCATATAGCATCATAACTGGCATGAAGCATGGAATTCAACTACTAGCTACGTAACACCTAACCTAGGCAGCATGGTAGTTATATGGAAAAAGGCAAGTGCACTGCATGCAAGCACACACGCCCATGCTTAAAAAGGTGCCATTCTTATGAAAAAGGAAAATCTTTTGCTATTATAAACTACAAAAAATGGAGCAAACAAGCCAACTACTAGGAAACAAATTACATCAACCTGGCTGTGAAATATGAACAACTTTGATTAATAATTGGTTTGCTAACCCTTTTCCTACATTGAAAACCAATGAACTCCAAGAGTCTGGTAAAAGTATCCAAGAAGACCAACAGACTTTGACATGGCAACTCCAAAATGTTAGACACGGGGATGCATTTATTTCATATGTTCTTAACCCTAGAATGTCAGAGATATTTTAATACTAGGTTATAGGATTTTGCTTTGTAAGAGAGAACATCCTTGTTGTGTTGGGCAATCTTTGAATTATAAGGACCACCTATATTGGCATGCAAATGGGCTTAGACCCGAAGTAAATGCAGTTGAACATGTTAACTGTCACTGATGTAACTGCCATATGTTTAGGTAAACAAGGTCATTTGTTCCTCTAATCACCAGTCAAGGTCATTATAGTCAAGTGTTCAAACAAAGACATCTTAGAATCTCCAGCTTGTAAGGCAAAGCCTAATATCTGTGTATCCCCAGCTTGTAAGGAAAACCACAAAATATAATTTTACCATGCAAATGGTTGACAATATGCTACATGCCATTTGGAAACAACAAAATGTCACATTGAAAAAGAGTTAATCAAGGGGAATTTCTCCATGGCTTCAAAGGCTTATTTTTGGATCTATTTTGAATTCCATTCCATTAGGTACAGTTTCAAAAGTGGGTACATGTAAAAAAGGCGGTGTTCAATTTCCTCAAGTTTTGCCAATATCTTGATGGTCGTATCCTCATATCTATGTCCATTCAAAGGTGTCTAATTTCTAACCAACGCATGTGGAAAAAAGGATGCATTACACGCTATAATATTATGCAAGTTTGTTATACCAATAAACAAAAAGGATCAATTTTGGACGGTGAATTAAAAAAAGAAATTTAATTTCATAAAGCGTCTCAATTTAATTTTTAAATTCCAGAATTACAAAATATATTACTAATACATTCAATCATATGCAAAGGAAACTGATAAAGGTTCAATACTTCCATCCCTACACTAAAAACTCTATATCTTTGTTTTATTAACACAAACAGAAATTCCGATTCACATCACGATTATCAAATCGGATTACAAACTAATATCCAGCAGATTAAAGTTTTCGTCAAGTGAGAAATTCACAAATAAAAAAAAAAAAGAAACTTTTTCTTCCACGGTCAACACTGTTGAAAAAACTATCAAACTTGAGCATAATTTAATTTTTGAACTCAAAGCTCAAGATTTAAAACAGTTGCGCAGCTAAAAGTGGACGCTTATTGAAAGAGAGCACTAACCAGTGAGCGAAGAATTCGACTATTGCATAAGTGGCTGGAGTATCCTTGAGAACTCCATCGAAATTCGTGACGTTCAATTCGACAGCATAGTCCTTTGGATCACTACCGCCGCCACCGTTGTTATTACCAATCTCTCGAAGTACCGTACGCGATTCCGCTTGCAACGACCTTGCTTTTAAGATCCAAAGATTCAAAATCAGAATCCAATATACAAGAGACATCGTAGTGAAAGAGAAGAAAAAACCACTTTGTCAAAATATATTTATTTTATTTGTTTTTTGCACAGCTTCGTCGGAATTATGGGAGTAGGGGATGAGGCGGTGGGCGGGTTTGGAAATTTCCGGTCGAAAGGGTGAGAATTACGTTTTCTTTTCCTTTTTTGAAATTCTGACGATTAATTATGTTTGCGATAGTCGGTCAAGATCAATTTTTTTGTGTGCAACCGAAAAAATAAATAAATAAATAAAATGCTACCATATAGGTCTTAAATTCCAGGTATTGTTTGCATTTTTTGGGTTAAATTTAACCAATTTTTACTTTTGATCATAATATTTTTTGATACCATATCAATTTAAAATTTTAAAATATAATTCAATAAAAAAATTTAGTTTAAGATTCGGCAAATTTTATTTTTTTGAAATTTTAATTATATTTTAATATTATAATTAAAAAATCAAAGTTGATTTTATTTGATAACAAAATTTACCATGAAATTTCAATTTGATACAAAAAGGGTAATAGTTGTTCATAAATTGTATGTCTTTAATTTTATTTTAATAAATAATTATGAATTTTGCTAAGTTCATACCAAATTAAGTAATAATATCTTAATGTAACTTGGAACAAATTACATTGACTATCAATTAGCTACCTATTTACAGAGTCAATTTCAAATTTGATTGTATCGAATTAAAACTCAATTATAATTCAATTTTTTTTTTTTAAGTAGCACACTTAGTACAAAATCATGAGACTATAAACTAGAAACCATTTCATTAACAATTAGTGTATTCGGTACATTATTATTATAGTAAAAATTAAAGTATTAAATGATTTTTTTGAAATTATATTCATAATTAAATATTACATTTATAAAATTAAATAAATAATTATTATATCATAATCAAAGTTTATTATTAAATAATCAATTAATAATTAAAAGTTAACCAAATTCTTAAAAGTCTTTTTTACTTTGTTCAAATAAATCATTATTCGAAAAAAATATATGGATTTATACATTTAAATATGCTTACATCCATTTAAACTATACATTTAAAGTATGCTTTCCAAAAAAATAACTTACATCCTTTGCACTTGTAAAAGATGATTTAGTTTTTCAAACGAAATGAAAATGGTTAATTAGAAATGTCTACATTTTAAGCATTAAATTGTCTCAATTTCGCTATATTAAAAAAAACACACTCACGCATCAATATTTATGTTTGTAAAAAATATTAATTATCATAATAATTTTGGAGTCATTTGACAAATTAAAAATAAATAAATAAATAAAGTCACTACCATTTTTTTTATTGTGAGTGATTGATCATTTGTTAAAATTTATTTTTTAATAAAACTCTAAAAATTTATTAAAATTTATTAAAAAATAAATTTAAAATTTGTGAAACAATTAGAATCCAATAATCTGTTATGAGTATAGAAATATTAATACATCCATAACACCTGTTTAAATCGATATCAATTAATTAGACATTATATTTTAATTATGGCAAAAAAGACTTTAGTTTCAATGTTTGAAAATAATTTTCTTAACTTTATTTATTTATCGAAATTTTAGTTTATTTATTTGTTATTTCATTTTATTCAAAAATAATAATAAAACTCTTTTATTGAAATAATTCTTAAAATGTTTTAATACGATAATATTAAAAAAAAAATTTATCAAGAAATTTCTTAAGTATCATTTCTCGAAATACTTTATAATATCATATTTGGAGACTTGTATTTATTTTTCATAAAAATAAGATCATACATGCAATGCAAATGATAATTTATTGATGCATACAATTTATTTTTCTTTAAAAATTTTTATTGGTTTTATTTTTTTTTTTAATTTTTTTATTTAAGAAAAAGAAACTTTTTTATCATATTAAAATTTTTTTATAAATATTCAATACACTGATAATATTTTAAAAAAAATCTTATCATCTAAGATTATTTTAGGACATCACTGCTTCAAAAACCTTAAAATCTCTTAATCAAATAAAAATTTATTTTCCATCATTTTTTTACTATTTTTATTGATTTTTTTACTTAATTGTTACTTTTATTAATAATTATTAATTAATTTTTATTTTCATTTTACTCATTTTTGTTTTATTTTATAGAAAAAAATTTTATTGTATTGAAAATTTATATAAATACCTCAATACATTAGTAATATTTAAAAAAAAAATTTCATTTAGAGATTTCGTATATATCTCTACTCAAAATACCTTAAAATATCGTCATTGGTTAAAAAATTTCTTTCCTTATTTTAAAATTATTTTTGTTATTTTTTAAAGAATGGAGGAATTTAGAAAAAAATTACCAAAATTTTGTTTATTTATTGTTTCTTTTTTGTTTTCGTTTTTTTTTTTTTTATTATTATTATTATTATTATTATTTAGTTATTTTTTATTTTATTATCATGTAAAGTTTATTTAGCTTTTAATGGAATTTAAAATTATCAAGAGTTTAAATTTTTTTATTTTTTATTTTATTTAATTGTTTCATTATTATTATTATTATTATTATTATTATTATTATTATTTTAAAAGTTGCAAATATTTATTTTAAAAAATTAAACATTCTAAACTTGCATAAATAATAACTAAAAAATAACTTAAAATGATAAAGAAAATAAAAAAATACAAAAAAAAAACTTAAACCGGTTGGTTCAACTGTTCAAGCCAATTTACAAGTGATTCAATTGAATGATTGAGAGTTGATTAAAAAAAATAAATCGTCGAATCAGATGGACGAACTTAAAATTAAGTTATGAGTCCATGCGTAGATTCTCAGTGAAACGATATCATTTTATCTCTTTCCTTTTAGATAAAAATCACCTTTTTTTTTTAACTCATTTTATCACTTTTTTACAAAAAAAAAAAAAAAAAACTTCACAAACTCTTTCAGCTATTCCCTAACCAGCCCAGATACACTCACCGTCTATCACAACAGCCATCGATCTCTTTCTCATTAATTGTCGTGTTCCACTGTCTCCTATCACCAAAAAGTCCAACAAACTTCTCTCAGCCTTCTTTTAATGATCTAGTTTATTTTTCATCAAAAAGAATCTCATAGATTCAAGCCAAAACCTTTGGGCTACACCTAAAAAAGAAAAACCCAAAATGTTTTTGCTCCTCCTTTTATTTTTTGGTTTTCTCAATTGATCATTTTTCAATATTGGTGCTGGGTCCTCGTTTCAGGGGCTGTGGCTTGGAATTTTTTTTTTTTTTTGGTTTGACAAAAGGCTTTTCTGATAAAAATTCTTTTTTTTTTCTGGTTGTTTATGTGAAGCTCCATTTATAAAGCTTAATTGGGAGACAAACCCCCACGTTTCCTGGTCATAATTTATGCTGCTTAAGTGATGGTGACAGTTGTGGCAGGTGGGGTTAGTGACTGATAAGGTATGAATCTGAGGGGACAGGTGGATTGATGATAGAGTAAGTATCTTAAGGTATGATGGTTCTTAGGACAGGGTATAGTGGCAGCTCAAGTGATTGGAAGGGTTATTGCCATGCACGATATCGTGCTATCTTCTTTTTTTTTTATTTGATTATTTTTATTATCATTATATTTAATATTTAATAATAATTATTATTAGTATTATAATTATTATAAAACAACTAAAGTTAAATAAACAAAGATGGACCTTCAAATGGGCTTTATAAATTGAAATTGGATCTCGAGTTCAAACTTTTGATAAAATTGGATGAACTTAAAATTGATGTTAAATTTGAAGAATTCGGATAAATTTGATATTTGATAATATTTTTTTATATTAAAGATATCGTAATTTAAAATTAAGAAAAAGAATTATAGATGTTATGATTTAAATTTTAAATTTGTTAAATGTTATTTTTTAAATATAAATAAATAAATAAATTAAATTAAATTTCAAATTCAATAACTTATATGATTCTAATTCTAAAAATTCAAGAAGGTTCTTTACATAATGGAGCACGAGAAAATATTTTCATCGCTAAAAATTTGAGCAGGATAAATATGTTGTACGGAATATTGTGGAGGGTAATGGAATATGATCTCTTCTCCTTTGCCTTTCTTGTTATCCTTCACATTTTCTTTATCGTGTGATCGCTCTCCCACAATTTCTGCATGCTTTCCCAATTGTTTGGTGATGGTTTTAACAAGTTTTGGTGGATCAAAATTTCCTCTAATTGTCACCGTCGACTTCTTCATGTCCGGTTCAACATTTAAAATTCCTAATAAACATGCAAATAATTACATAGTAATTAGTAATCTTTTATAATAATCAATAATTCATATTTTTCGATTTGAATCTAATTTAATTCATTCAATCAATTTTAAAATATAATATCTAATAAATTTAAAATTTAAAATTATTTTTATTTTTTATTTTTATAAAAAATAATTCATATATATATTTACAGTAAGAACTGAATGGAACAATTAGAGTAAGGAGATAAAAGGGGAGAAATTAATTACAAGTAAAACCAAAGGGAAAGAGAATTTACCTTCCATTTTCTGTATACCTTTTTTAATATCATTTGCACAGCCTTCACAGTGCATGTACATTTTAAGCACAACAACTTTAATTTGAGGCTGTATAAATAAGAATAAAAATAAGTATTCACATATAAAAAAAAACGGAACGCAAAAAAATATTTAAGTTTATAGTTGATGCATTAATAAATATATAAAAAAATTAATAATTTTTTAAAAAATTTTAAATGATTTATTTTATTAATAAAATAATAATATATAAAACAATACATCAAATATAAACTCAAAAAATATATATACATACTTCTGCATATAAATGACATTTGCATTCCCAAGCTCTTTGAACAGAAGAGATATATATATATATATATATATATATATAAATTATTGAGTAAATATTTGGATACATTCTCAATAAATATATATGTTAAAAAATCATCTGCCTTTCTATAAATTAAATTAATATTCTAAGTCAAAAAAGTTTTCAAATGAAATAAATACTATTAAAACAGAGATTCTTGTAACCCACCTCTGCTTTCTTTTGTAACTCCTGTTTGTCATTAGCCTTAGGTTTTGGTTTGGGAGAAATGAGCTCAGCATTTCTACTATATTTCTTCTTAACTCTTTCCAAGACCTTCAATGGATCAGCCTTTGGTCCCTTCACTATCACTTTGTCACCTTTAACATCCGTCTTCACTTCTTCAATGCCTAATCAAATTAACAAAATAAGTTATATGATATGGATATGCTTAAAAAAAAAAAACAAAAATCAAATTTGATGCAAGCAAATTTCCCTAACCTTCAAAACCTTTCAAACAATTGAAAATCTTGTCCGCACATCCTTCACAATGCATGTAAACTTTTAGTACAATTTCTCTTCCCTTTTCTTCTTTGTTTTCACTGCTTTTTTCAACTTTCACTCCCATAATTTGCTCAACTCCCCACAATTGCGGTTGCCCAAGTAGTGTATTTTATCTATGCCTTTGCTATTACTTGTTTTCTGGATCAAGTTGGTAAACAAAGGGTGTGAGCTAGAAAGAGAGTAGGGGAGCTATAAATAGGATAGTGGTGCCTTTAACTCTATTAATCAATTTCTACCTCCCTTTCAGGAATAAATAATTACCATAGATAGAAACTTATGAATGAGATGGATCTCTTAACCCTTCAGTTATGCGAAATAAAAAAGAAAGCAATCATGTTAAATCTTCCCCACTTATGGCTTACTTTATTTGTTTATGTAGTAATTATACTACGCGTTTACACAATTATATGAAAAAAATAATATTACATTTAATTAAATTGATTCACGAATTCTTTTTAAAAATTAACATTCAAATATATAAATTACAACAATCATAATTTTTTTACATAAAAAAATTATATGAAAATACCCATAAAATGTAGAATTATTTGTTTAACATTTAGATTTTGATACATGAAATTAATTTACATAATCACTATTAAAAAATAATATCCAACATTTACAACATCTTCTCTTATAAAAAATTTATGAAAAATACGTTAAATGCTGAGTTGTTTGTCTGGCTTTCGCATTTAGGTCCCAAAGTTCCCCAATTTAGATTGCATGCAATTATTAATTCTTTCTCTTCCTGTCTCGGCCCAACAAGTAATTTTTAGTGGCATTACAAGTCAGCCCAAACCGATAAGACTAGCTGAGTTAGCCTGGGTTTGTGGGTTGGGCAAAGAATTGGGCCATAGCTTTGTCTCAATTTGTATAGCGAAATCAAGAACAATTTTTATTTCAACCAGGGTGACCGACACATTGGCATAAACTGAACACGTGTAGGAAAACAGAATCCCACTTAAGAATAGCCACGGGTAAAGCCAAAACAGATGCACGTTCAAAAACAACTTCAGATTAGTCCGCCCGCTCTCAGTATTTGTAACGCGAAATCTTCGCTCCCTCAGAGTTGATCATTTCTGTTCCGAATTTGCTTGAATCGTTCATCTTAGTAAGATCTCTTCTCTTCAACTATTTTCTCTTTTTTTTTTTTTGGTTAAATTTTCAGTTTTATATTCTTTACTGTAGTAAGAGTTTACCATTCGGAAGAATTTCACTTCCAAATAAGCTCATAGGATTTTCTTCTGGATTTTCTTTTGTCCTGATTTGCTTTGATTGTGTTTTTTTCTCTTGAACTTTTGAGCAGCAACAATTTTTTTTTAATAAAACTGAAATGGGTTGTAATGGGACATCCTGAAGAATTCTGAAACAGAGTTTTTCATCATTAAAATCGGTGTCTGTCCTAACTTGATGTTCCCTCTCTTACATTTTCTCTTTTAATGCTGATTGGTTGATTATAATTTGCTTCAGACATTTTTCTACTTGTGTAATTCAAGTGTTAGACGTTTTCTCATACATATGATGCCTGTTTCTCCAGAACTGAATTTTGGTTCCCTTCTTTGTCAGGTTTCACAGAACCAGGAACTTTTACTTCATTCCAGAGCAGTCTGTATTTTGCCTAGAACAACCAAAGCAAATCTGAAAAAGTGAAACATGTCCGGTGTATCTCTTGCTGTGGCTCCTAGAAATGAGCTAGATCACACCAAAACACCCGGGGAAAAACCCGAACACAAACACAATCCTCTTCGCGAGCAGCAGCAACAATCAGTGGTGGGCGGTGTAATGAGATCATTGCGTGTGATTGAACTCCAACTGGTAGCTTTCATTATGGTTTTTTCTGTTAGTGGACTTGTCCCACTCCTTGATTTAGTCTTCCCAGCTTTTGCCTCCACTTATATTATCGCCCTTTCACGCTTTGCCTTCCCATCCCATGGTCGTGTATCCACTGGACCGCCAGAGATTTTCCAAGGCAGCAAAATCTTTAGGCTCTTTGTGATTCTTGGAACTACCATAGGGCTTTTCTTGCCGCTGGCGTATGTCTTGGGTGGCTTTGCAAGGGGTGATGATCATGCTGTTCGATCAGCTACACCTCATTTGTTCTTGCTTTCATTTCAAATACTAACAGAAAATGTGATAAGTGGGCTGTCTTTATTTTCACCACCGGTGAGGGCACTTGTCCCATTACTATATACAGTTAGGAGGATCTTTGTTATCATTGACTGGATGTTTGGTGTTTGGCTCAACAAAACTCTGCCTGCGAATGCACAACTGAAGGTAATTAATCTTAACCAAATATTTCTCGTTTCAGGTAATTGGCAACTGTGAATTTTCATGCAACCTGCTTTAAAAAATTCTAACATAATCTAACAATGATTGTGTAGGACATTGCATGGGATTGGTTTGGGAAGGTCCTGGCAGCTGCAAACCTTTTGTACTTCTCTTTTAATCTCTTATGCTTTTTGATTCCTCGATTCCTCCCTCGGGCATTTGAGAAGTATTTTAGGGAGAGGGATGAGATTCATAGTAAGATTTCAGAGGACAAGCGTCCTCCAGCAGCAAACAAGTCTCAAACAACGGATAACAAACTCGATTGAATCTGCTCTCTATTGTTCTCTCTGCTGTCCGCACCACTTGAAGTGCTTGCAATGTGTGAAACGGTATAGTATTGAAAAGCAATAGTATTTTTTTTTCTGCTGCATCTAAACATTCGTCCTTTCTTTTTAGACTTTTGACAATGACATTTTTAGATTCAGTCCTAGCTTATTTGTTTATCTACCATTAATTTTAAATAAATCTTTCTTGTTTCTTTGTATGGTACTATTAGTTATGCCATAATGTGACAAGTCTTTATTTCTTTGTTTGATGTTGCTGCCATAGGAAAGGCTTATTCTAGGTCAGATGTTAGCAAAGTTCCTCCTATAAACTAACAACAGAACTTGCAGCCTGGGATAAACATAGATACCGAATATAGAATAGAAGTTCATTGAAATATGAATTCTTCAATTAATTGTGTGTGTAATTGTAAAATTGTATTAATCAATTAAAATTTAAAATTTAAAGTTGCGTGAATCCCAATTAAAAATTAAAGTCCAAAGTTAAAACTTACGTGAGATTTATAATGTTATCAAAACATTATGTAAAATATTATATATATATTCATGTGAAATTTATATTTATAAATAGTTATAATATATTATGTGAAATTCAGTGGTGAATTTTTATATAATATTTTATTTATTATAATAAGACAATTAGTATTATAATAGAAAAAAATCAGGTGGAATGCTTACGTTTAAGTCCTCTTGACAGGGACATGTCCAAGTTACCATTGTAGTTACTTGGTGTTAAACAAAGCAAAAAAAAAAAAAGTACAAAGAAAAAATATCCTGAAAGTACTAAGCAGGTCATACAAGCAAGGAAATGGAAGCAAATTGTTGAAAGAGGAATTACTTCTTGTCATTGATTTCTCATCCATTACTTCCATTTTTCTGTCGTTGGGTTTGCTTGAAAATCCTTTTTTTCTGTGTGTGTGTGTATGATATCCATTTTCCTTGGCGAAAATCTCAGAAGCAAGCAAGAGGACATCGTTGAAGACTTGGAGTATTTGTTTGTTTGTTTGAGGTGCTGGTTAAGAATAACCTTCTAAGTTTATGTCGGAACCTCGTGATATCCAACAAGTTGACCTACCGAAAACTCCTTAATAGGTTTGGCAGGAAACCATTAAAACATAAAAAGCAAAACAAAAAAAAAAAAATTTACTATATCATGATTGTTTATTAGTCTTAAGGCAAATTCATGACATTGTTTCTCTTTTCTTGGACAATATCGGATCTGAATATAGCCCAAAATTGCTAGGATCTTTTTAAATGTTTCATGCATTTCTTTTTCGTTAAATATTGATACCACTTTCAAAGGAGGTATAATGTCATTCTTGAAAGCAAAATTAATGTTTATATTAGATAATAACAGGTGTACTAGTGAAATTGACTGTGTTTTTATTTATTAATTAAGCATTATGGGGTAGGAGCTTCCTACCTAGAAAAAGTGAGAAAATGAATGACCTATGCCACTTTATTGCTAATAAAAAAAAAGAGAAGGAAGATGATCTTGAAGCTTTTCATATCTACTAAAGATAGAGATCGTTTTTAATTTTTTTTTTATATTTAAATATGTTAAGAATTGATTTCCTATCATTAAACTTAAAAATTTAGCATTTTAGTAACAGATCATATAAACTTTTTTCTTTAAATCAGTTAAAATTTGATCTTTTCTTATTAAAATTAAAATTTTAATATTTTGTCAATAAATCATAGCATACTAACACCAAAATTTCAATATTTTATATCATATGAATTTATCGTTAGACATAGACTTAGGAGCTGCCATTAATTATTTATTTATTTATATGAGATTGGTCACTTAACTGAATTTGTGCTATTTTAAAAAAATCTCAATATTAATTTAGATATCTTTAAATAATATATTATAGTCCATGAAACTATATTTTAGGTTTGAAAGTATAATTACATGTAAAGAAGGTTATGTACCCTCATAGCGTCTATCCAAAGATGGTGTCAGTCTGATTTTAAATTATTTAAGTCTTAAGATATTTTTATAATTTTATCAAATAATTTAATTATTAAAAATTAATCTTAAAATTACTCCAATAGTTTGGTAGCAATTTAAAATAATTTTCTCACCTCATGAGTATTCATAAAAACTAATGTTTAACGAGACTTTATCATCGGATTTATTTAATTGAAAAAATAATTTATTTTTAAAAATATTTTCTAATATGTTGATAAAATTTTTTTTATCAAGAATTATCATCTAATCTATTGATAGGATTGAAAATTTATTTGTTTATGAAAATAATTTATTTTTATAAATATATTCTAATATGTTGGTAAGATTTTCCATCAAGAATTATTCTTCAATTTGTTAGTAGGATTTTTTTAGAAATATTTTTTAAGAAAATTTATTAAATCTTTCAATAACTTGGTAAGACTTAATTCAATATTTAAATCTTTCAATAATATGGTAGGATTGAAAAATATTTTATTTTTTGAAAACTTTTTTTTAAAAATTAAAAAATAAAAAAAAAGAAATCAATTAAAATAAAACAAAAATTATCTTGCAAAATAATATAATATATCACGCAATAATAATAATCATGCAAAAATAATATCATCATGTAATAATATAATATGTTATGCAAGAATATAATTAAATATGTAATCATGCAATAAATAAATAATCATGTAAAAGGATAAATAGAAATATTACAAATAATTTTACCAAAATTTTTTTTCATATTTAATCTAATCACTCAATTAGAATAATAAATGAGGAAAAAAAAGAAATAAAAAATAATGAATAAAATAAAACAATAAAATAAAATCAAAAAGTGAAAATTAAAAATAAAAAGAAAAAGAACAACCCACAATCGGGTCGGGGCGGATCCACTAAAGTTCATGCGGATCAACCCATTGCCAAAACGTTATCGTTTGCTATTATGTATAAAAGCCAAAAGTTCAACATTTTCTTCAGAATGCTCATTTATCCTTTTTTCACTAAAACAAATATTTTTATCTTCTCTTTAAATATTCAACCTGAAAACTCAAACTTTTTCAGTTTCCCACCAAATGTGCAAATTCTAGTGCCAGGAAATTCAACTGGCTGCTGAAAAAATCATCATTTTCTAAAAATTGTATGAACCTAGAACCCGACTATCGTGAAGCCCTTCCGGTCACCATAACTTTTATCAAAAAATTTAAACTTTTGCTGGAAAGTTCATATAAATCCAAAAAATCTAAAAACTTGATTTTTTTTGAAAAATTTTAAAAATTATCAAATTTCACCTAGAACCTAAAAATCAAATCCAAAACTTCAAATCAACATAAAATCCACCCAAACTTCTAGAATCATAATGAATATTTCATAATCAAATATTAGAGCCAAAAATCAAAATCCCAAGATTTATCCCTAAATTTCAGAACTAAAATCTTCAAAATTTTTTAAAAAATAAATAAGATAAAATAAAGACCCAAAGGACAAGAATTACAACCCTAAAAAAATCCCAAAATGAATACCAAAACCCATAAACCTAAACCTAGAATCTTTTAATTGTTTTTTTAAATTTCTTTTTACCCCATTTCTTTGTGGTTAATGGTCTGTTTTTATAGAGATTGAATCCCTCTTAAATTTGAAAATTAAATCAAACTGGTTAAAGATTTTATTTATTTTATTTTATTTTAATTTCCTATGACATTCCATTTTCATGCAAATTGAAATCAAAAGGTCATTCAGAATCAAATCCGTTCTTTTATTTTTGGTTTTCTGACCTTCTTTTTTTAAAAAAAAAAAAAAACTTTTTTATGGACCTTTTGACTTTTTTGAGAAAAAAACTAAAATTAAACAAAAAATTAAATTAAATCAAATTAAAATTAAAATTAAAAAAATTTCTTTTAGGCCTAAAGCTTCTAATCGTGCCCAATTTATAGTCGAAAGCCTGTTTTAGATTTTGAAAAAAAATTTGAACAAAATATGGTGTTTACAGTTACCATTATTTGTGCATTTTTTGTGAGATAGAAATTGCGCAAAGACATAAACAACCATTGTATCTGGTTTAACTCAAGAATCCTTTAAACATAGGCATGCAATTAAAAAAAAAAAACAAATCAAGAAATGGGCTCTTCTAAACAAAAGCTCAACAACTTTAAAAAACTTTAAATAGGAAATATCAAAAGATATCGCTTGAAATCCAAATATTCACAATTTGAAAATTTAAAGGTTTACAAAACTGCAAAAATCCACAAGGTTCCACAACAAATATTAACAGATTCCAAGACTCCAAGATTCACAAAAAATTTGTAATGATTTCAAAATTTGCAAAGATTCGAGATTCACAAATGTTTTTAGATTAGCAAGAATTTTAAGTTTTGCAAAGATTTCAAAAGTTCGTAAATGATTCAAGATTCTCAGAGGTTCCATATTTACAAAGATTTTAAATTCATAAGATTTTAAGTTTTGCAAAGGTTTTAGATTCATAAGGATTTGAAATTTTACAGAGATTCCAGATAAACAAGATTACCAGTTTTGCAAGAATTCATATTCATAAGAATAGAAGATTCACAAAATTTTAAGTTGTAAGAATTTTTGTTTTGCAAGAATTTTCAGATTCACAAGAATTGAAGGTTCACAATAATTTAGATTTGCAAAATTTTTTTCAAATTCGCAAGAATTTTTAGGTTTGCAAGAACTTCAAAGATTCGCAAGAGATTCAGATTGCAAAATTCAAATTTGCAAGAATTTTCATCATTGTAAAGATTTGCAAATTATAATTCGTATTCAAAACGTTTTTTTTAGTAATTCACATCCAAAATTTAAAGTTTCATATAAAAAATTTATGTATTCGCATTTAAGATTTCAAGGCTCACCCCAGAATTCAAATACTTTCATTTAAAAATTTTTTGAAATTCACAGCCAGAAGTTAAAGATTTTCATTCGAAAAATTTAAAGATTCATATTTAAAATTTCAAAGATTCACATTTAAAATATTTTAGAAATTCACATCCAAAAGTTAAAGACTTTTATTCGAAAAACTTAGAGATAGAAAATTTCAAATATTCACACTCGAAAATTTTTATATTCACATGCAAAATTTAAAGGTTCTTTTTCAAAAACTTTCTAGCTTTACAAAAAAAAAATTTTATTCAAAAAAATTTTAGGGTTTCACATCCAAAATTTTAAAAATTCTCATTCAAAAATTTCTTTTAAACAAAAGCTCTATAATTTTAAAAGTTTGGAAAGTTTTCCTTGTCCAAAAATCTCAACATGAAAGATCTTTTTCATTCAAGGAATCAAAAGTCAAACATTTTCTTCCAATAAACACAAATGTCATACTAATAATGCAAATGCCTTCTAAATTATGCAAATGCAACAATCCAGATTCTCACTGAATGATGCAAATGCAAATATCAT